TCTCGCCCTCCCGCGCCCCCCCGCGCCACTTCGGCCGGGCCGGCCGGCGGCTACATCTGGCGCCCGCCGCGCCGCCTCCGGGGCCGCGGGGACCCCGGCGCCTGCAGGCGCGGGCCGCGGCGGCCGAGGCTCTGGCGCACGCCCCGCCGGCCGTGCAGGCCCCCTCCCGGGCGGCGGGCGGCGCGGGGGGCCGTGCGTACGAGCGCGCACACACCCAAAGGGGGCCGGCCACCGCCGCCCACCCGCCACCAGCGTGGAGAGCGGAGAAAGCGGGGCCGGCAGCGGGAAGGGCGCGCTCCGCCGCCCGCCTCGCCGCACTTGTCCAACGTGGAAAACCCAAATACCAGTTTCAAACACTTGGGAAACATTCAGCCCCGCGCGCAGCGCGCATGCGCTCCGCCACCCCCCTCCCTCCACCTCCCGGAGGCGGCCCCGCCCCCACCGCATTCACGCCCCTCACTGTCCCGGGCCGGGGGGCGGCGGGGCCGCGAAGGCCGGCCCGCGCGAGGGCGTGGCCTGTCACTGTCGCTGAGGGGCCAGGGTCGCGGAGGGGACAGGCGCGGGGCAGCGCGGGGCAGGGACGGCCGGCGACGCGAAACTTTACTAGGAGTTTGGCACTCGGTGGCGGACCTACTGGGCGGAGCCGCACGCCGGCCAGGCACGGCGGGGAGGTGGCCCGCTCCTCTAAGGACACTCCAGGGCCGGACGAGCCGCCACACCGCCGCTCTCCAGACCGGACTACACAGAACGCAGCCACCATCCACCGGGCTGAACTGCAGTCCCCCCGCCCCCGAGCGCGGTATAAATAGGGCCCCCGGACGGAACTGGCAACGGCAACAGCCAATCCCCTGGCGGCTCTTACCTCTGCGGCCAATCTGGACGAGAAGGAGGTGTGGTGGGGCCGGCAACGCCTCCCGCACGCCTAGTACTAGAGAGCTGTCCTCGGCGAGCAGGACCGAGCAGGCGGGTCCGAGGGAGGCGGAAATGGGCGCGCATGCGCAGGGCTCGGGCAGGGGCTGCGGACCCGCGCGGGAGGGCCGCTCCCGAGGCACCGCGGGACCACCACTCCCAGCATCCTCGGCGGCTACCCGCGCCTGCGCCGTCCTTCCCCGCCGTCCCTTTGTGTCGCCTCTCGGAGCTGAGTTTGGAATGACCTGGAGACAAAGGGGCCCCCGAGGGGTGCGCTGTGCACCTCGGAGGTCTACGGAGGGCGGGCTGGCGAGAGCAGCGCCCCGATCTTAGCCCTTGCCCTGCCGCCTCCAAGGCTGCCGGGTCCTCACCATACTGAGGAGTCTGCGGGCACCCCGGGCGCACGCCCGCAGGTTAGCGCAGCCTTCGGATCCCCATCTCGCCCTTCCCCCACAGCCCCGGATTTAGGGCTTTCTGAAAAGCCCGGGCCGAGCGAGCAGTTGCCTAGGCGACGGGCTCCGGCGGTCCCGCCCCCTTCCGGCCTAGGTGCCGCCCCGGGGCGGAGTCTGGCCTGCGGTCGCCTAATTTCGCGCCTTTGCATTGCTGCCTTCCCCTCTCTAGAGTCCCGGGTCCTCAGTCTTGCTCTGCTGCCTGGGCGGTGCTCCCGGGTCCTCCCGCCGCTGTGTCCGCTGTGTCCTCGTGTGCCGAGCGCTAATGACCACTCTCTGCCTCGCCTGTTGGAATGTCGCCGCGGCGCCAGGTCAGCTCACTGTCTTCAGCCTCCTCCAGCGTGCTCGGTGTTGTATTTCAGCCTCCGGGATTCGTCCTCCAGCAGAACAGGACTCACCCCTTCAGACCCAGAAGATGTAGTTTGGAACGGTTTGGAACGACTCTTGAAACACGGTGACATCCTAACCCCCTCGGCACGTGTGGAAGTACTCATTGCGCCCCCGTGACATCCACACTTCCACGCAGTTCTCTACAATAGAGTATCGACGGGGGCGACCGCACTCGTTTCAGCGATCGGTCATAGGAATGTCAGTGCAGCAAGAGACATTCAATTCAGCTGTCTGCTTTTCGAGTTAGATCGTTCAGATTGCGCCGTTGCTGTGGGTGTGCACCCTGAAGCACAGGGCGTACATTTTCAGCAGGCTAACGTCAGTTGGCTGTCCTGTGGTGCCTTTTTACTAACATTCAACTGCTTTCAGTACTAGCCAGAAACAGAAGTTTCACTTAGTTGCCAGAAGGAAGTATTTGTCCACTAGTCTGCACAAAGGCTAAGAATATGGCTTGGAAACACGACGTGGAATAAAGCGTGGGCAGGGGTCCAGAACTGAGTATGAAAAGTGGGCCTTATTCCTCAGAGGTCATGTAAACAGTTTAAAGCCACAGTAGCAATTAAGAGACAGGTATCTTAATCTCAGCGCTATCTAAATTTAATAAAGATTGGGTATAACTGACCCTTTCCCAAGATAGCCAAACCGGAGTTTGAACCCGGTTACCTTTGAAAGTTCACAATATTCTTAATCCATTCTGCTGCTCATTGAACTCATAGACACAAACCCAAAGACATCTTGTTCACCTGACCAGAATTATTTCACAAGTACCTACCAAATGCTAACTACAATGTTTTATGTCCTGGGAATACTGAGTATGTTCACCTCTTTGGGGTAAAAAAGTTTTTATTTTTTAAATTGACCTTATAAAGTGGCTTTCTAAGCATGCTCAGAAGACCAATTGATAAAATGTAGTTTAACTATAACCAAGCATTTTAAGTAGACTGTATAGAAAATCAAAGACTGGGAGATGGCTGAGTTAACCTGAGTTCAAACCCTTGAACCCACATGGTGGAGTGACTGAACCAGTCTGCAGAGCTGGTCCTCAGGCCTCCACATACACACTATTAATAAATACAGTCTTTAAGAAAAACCTCTTCCTGGGAGGCAGAGGCTGGGGAGGCAATGACCATGGGTCCAGAGAGAGAATCTGGCTCCTTGAGGCTCTGGTTGGAGGTGTTCCCTGAGTGAGGCTCCTGGGACAAAGGGCACCCTCCAGCTAAATGCCAATTTCCCGTTCTCACTTCAACTAGCCTGAGCTGGGCTTCCATTCCCAGTCCAAGCCTGTGGCTATGTGCAACCTTTTTGGTTTTTTTTTTAATAAGAAACAAGCCTGGGGACACCAAGATGGCTTGGCCAGAAAAGGTGCTTGCCATCAAGTCTGACAACCTGAGCTCACTCCCCAGGACCCCACCTTGTAGAAGGAAGCTCCCGAAGCTGTCCTTGGACCACCTCACTTTTGCTGTGACATACACACACATATGCAAATAAATGTATTGTTTTTCTTTTGTTTTTTCAAGACAGGGTTTCTCTGTGTAGCTTTGAAGCCTATCCTGGAACCCACTCTGTAGACTAGGCTGGTCTCAAATTTACAGAGATCCACCTGCCTCGGTTGGGATTAAAGGCGTGCGCAGCCAACACCCAGTTTAGAACTGCTATTTTAAATATCCGCTCTAGTTCTTTGAGTTCCACATTCCAACCTTTGGTTTCTGTTTTTTGACAGACACGTCTTGTATTAGAGTAAAAGCTTTCTCTAGCAGATCTTTCACTACCTGCACAGGAAGAGTTTTTGAGGGACTTTCTCAGGCCAAGCTCTTTGGTGAATTTGCAGGATTTGGCAAGAAGATCAAGAGTTTACAGTTAAGTACTCAGGGAGTGGCAGCCCACATTTGTAATCCCCAAACTGGAGTTTAAAGACTGAGGCAGGGGGGTTTAAAGGCAAGTAAGCTAGTAAGATTTACATAGTTAGAGCCTGGACTACTGAGTGAAACCATATCTCGGCAACTGAGATAGGCGGGTGGGGAAAGAGAATTGTATATCGCTATAAGAAGGAGACAAACACACACATGAAGGCAGGTGGCTGTGAAGAAGAATAATTCCGGGAGAACTTGGGACATTTGGGGACCACGGATGATCCCCATAAGGTACAGAAACATAGTCTGTTTACGTGGCAGTTTAGCTTCAAGCAGGCAGTGAGATTCCAGAATCGTCAGGAGAAAAGATCTCCAGGAACACAGCTGCTTAATCATTCCCCTGGCAGGAGAGCAGCAAAACGAGTGAAAACCAAGACCAGAAGGGCGGAGGCTGCGCAGTGTCGTAAGGACCGGACAAGCAAAGGGGACCTAACTCAGGACAGTTCTCAGGAGACGGGCAATGGAACTTTTCATCATGTTTCGATTGGTTTCTAAGGCAGGATCTCATATCGGGGGGGGCTGGTCTTGAACTTGATGCTCCTGCATCCCCCCTCCCAAAAGCTTTGATTTCAGATAAACACCACCATTGTGGCTCTAAAAATTTTTTAAGCAATTTATTCTTACGTGAATGGGTATTTCGCACGCATGCCTATCTGTGGACGATGTGTGCAGTGCCTACTGAGTCCAAAAGAGGCATTGGCCCCTCTGGAACTGGGATTATAGACTAGAGTAGCCAAGTGGGTGCTGGGACTCAAACCTGGATCCTCTGGAAGAGCAGCGTCTTTCCAGAAGACATTTCCAGTTACATATACGCGAACAGAGTCATTTCCCGGCGTTGTTCTTTCATCCTAAGGCCAAAGGACAGTGTGAAGTACACAAATACTGTGTGTACGGAATGCAAACATGTCTGAGGATGCATGTGCCGAGTGTGGCAAGGGGCATACTGGCAGTCATGCTGTGTGTATGTTGGGGTGCAGTGTGTGTTAAAGCACAGTGAGTGTAGACACGATGAGTGTACGCTGGTGTGCATAGTGTTTCTGGAGTAGGCAGTGTGTTGGAGTGTTGAGATACACACGTCACGTATGTACATAATGTTGCAGTGCACACCAGGTCTCAGCAGCAGGCACAACGACGTACACGGGGACCAATCTATCCACAAGGACGAGCTATGAGACCTGCGCTATAAAGGGGAACGGCCGAGGAGCCCTGTTTCTCACTGTGGTCAATGCGCCACTGCACAGCTGGGTTCACCGCCTGACTCCAGCCGGGGAGAGTATTCTCTTCCGGGGGTGGGCGGAGCCCTGTGGGGACTCGGGCGTGGCTTCTGGGTCGCCGGGCGTGGCTTGTTTTCAGGGGCGGGGCGGGGCCTGGCCTGCGGAATTGCCTTGTGCCGGGTTCTCTAGTGTGCCCCGACATGCTGCGGGCGCGCGGGCCTGGGCCGGGTTCTCTGCTGCTCCGGGAGGCGCTGGCTCTCGGGCGGCGCGGGCGAGCGTGGCAGCGGCCGCAAGGCCAGGACACCGGCGTGCAGGTGCACAACAGCCTCACGGGCAAGAAGGAGCCGCTGATCGTGGCCCGCACGGACGCCGTCTCCTGGTGCGTGCGCAGGCGGGGCGGGGCGTGAGGGTCTGCAGGGGCGAGTCCGCCCTGAAACCCACAGGTGTGGTGCCCTGAGCGGTCATTGAAACACCGTGTGCGCGTGTGTGCGTAATGATTGTTATCGAGGGCTTAGGGCTCTCTTTTGCAGCTATCTCACATGGTGGGTCTTAATATGTTCCTAGGTATAGCTGTGGACCGACTGTGTACGACCATGCACACCTTGGCCATGCTTGGTAAGTTTCCTTGTTTGAACTTGGTGATTTTCATGATTTGAACTTGGTGATAAAGTTAGAGGATCATTTATTGTGGAAAGGGTAAGTTGTTAGCTTGTATTTTTATCTGTTAAGTGAGCCGAGTAGTGACTGCATGCTGGGAATTGTGAGACCTCAAGTTGTTAGTCTCGTTTAGTGTCTGCAGCTGTTTTTGGTTGTATACTCAGTGCTCAGGTCTGGACACTCAGAGAGTTGGTGTGGAGGAACGCAGAGTGATTTAGATGTTTCTAAGGTTGGTCCAGGGACCCGAATCCAACCGTCATCGCCTGGCTTTGAATGGGTCACTTGCTGGAGTCCTGGTTCTTGCTTTGAGTCGAGACAGAAATGATAATAGCTCAGTGTTTGGAATCTTCATGGTAACTTCAGGAAATAGTATATATGAAGTGCCACTTAACACAGCCGTGACAGCGCTGTAGGGCCGCTCTCCTGGGAAGCACTGGAGCTGGGAGGAAGTTCTGCATTTGTTGACATTCCCCGTTTCCTAATATCTTGTTGTTGTCTTGCACATTTTTACTTGGGCAGTTTTAGACCTGAATTAAACACAAGTGTGAAGGCTAGAGGACAGCCTCAGGTGTCGTCATCAGGTTCTGTCCCCGGTTTGTTTTGAAGTAGAATCTCTCAGTGGCTGGCCAGTGAGTCTCAGGAATCACCTCCCTGTCTGTCTCCCTTGCACTGGAATAATATGGAAAATCCCGGTTCTCGAGCATGAATGAGAACAGTAAAAAGCTCTTGTCATTTGACCTTTTGTTAATGTTGTATTATAGGAGTTTTTATACTTTTAGATAGATGCAAACTCACTCAACAGCTCTAAACTTAAAAACATTAATCTTATCCTGGAACTGATGGAACTGCTGATTGCCTTTTTGTTTTGTTTTGTTTTAAAGATTTATTTATATATTATGTATACAGTGTTCTGCCTGCAGGCCAGAAGAGGGCACCAGATCTCATTATGGATGGTTGTGAGCCACCATGTGGTTGCTAGGAATTAAATTCAGGTCCTGAGACTTGAACTCGGCCATCTTTCCAGCCCCTTTTGGTTGCTTCTTGCAGGAACCCTTCTGGGCTACCAGGTAGGACTCAGTTTGTAAAGAAGTACTTGAAATAGTTCCCTATGAACCAGTTATCGACTGTAGAACACAGCTTAGAAGTTAACATAGTGGTGCTAAATTATAACACGTTCCTTTTCAAGAATAACAATCATGGGGCTGGCAAAGATGGCTCACTGGGTAAAGGCACCTCCTGTACAAGCCTGATGACCTGAGTTTGGTCCCCAGGACTCCTGGTAAAAGGAGAGCATTGAGTCCCACAAACTTCCTCTGACCTCCCTCTACATGCATGCTGCTGTAGTATGTGCGCACACACACACACACACACACACACTACATACACACACAATAATAATAAAGCTGGTGGCTGGAGGGATGACTTAGCACTTAAGAGCACTTGTTTGTGGAGGACCTGGGTCCAGTTCCCAGCACCCCGTGGTGACTCACAACCATTCTGTATATTTTCTGATTTCAGGTGCTCTGACACCCTCTTTTGACCTTGTTAGGCACCAAATAAAGATATGGTGCACATGCATCCATGCAGGCAAAACACATGAACGTGAAATAAAACAAATGAATGAGAAATAAAACAATTTTAAGTTAAAAGTCTAATAGCAACGTTGATTGTGTGTTGAAGACAAGCCAACAGTTTTTTTCTTTCAGCTCATACGTCAGATTTGACATTATCCGAAGGATCCTGACCAAGGTGTTTGGGTGCAATGTGATCATGGCAATGAGCATCACTGATGTGGATGATAAAATAATCAGGAGAGCTAACGAGGTGAGCACTTGGCCTTGATTGACAGCCCGGCGGCTGTGTGGCAGTTCTTTTCTTTGCTTATTGTATTTTTATGTATTTCTTTCTTTTTTTTTTTAACCAATTTATTTATCCTTTTATTTTACTTACATTGGTGTTTTGCCTGCGTGCATATTGTATTTCTGTGCGAGGGTATCAGATTTTGGGGTCACAGACAGTTGTGAGCTACCATGTGGGTGCTGGAACTTGAACCCTGGTCCTCTGGAAGAGCAGTCAGTGCTCATAACCACTGAACCATCTCTCCAGCCACCTCCCTCGCTTTTTGAGACAGGGCTTCGCTGTGTAGCTCTGGATGTCCTGAAACTCACTTTGTAGACCAGGCTGGCCTCGAACTCACAGAGATCCACCTGCCTCTGCCTTCCAGGTGCTGGGATTAAAGGCGTGCGCCACCACTGCCTGGTGTATGTTATGCTATGTTGTGAAAACTCACAGTGATTCAAGCCAGAGACACTTTTTTCTGACCCAGGGCATTAACTTGCATGTCTGGCTTCCTGGGAAGGCGGTGGGATGTGCTGAAGGCCAGGGGTTCTGTTGGAGTGCCGAAGCCTGGCCCACTGACTCCCGGAGAAGGAGAGGACCTGGAATAGCAAGGACTAGGGGTTTTGGCACTTGCCCTGTGTAGTTTGTTTCATGGTGAGTGCCCCGGTGTGCCCTGTGACCAGCCACTAGGGGATGAAATGTAACCGTCTGACTTTGAGAGTGCGATTCTCTTGAATAGAGGATCCAGAGGGAATAGCACAACCAGATGTGAAGACATATTTAAAAAGCTATAGATAATTCTTTATCTATGAACGTATGTACATATAAATACATGTGTGTGTGAGTGTGTGTATGTATATATATGTGTTGTGTACTTGTTTTCTCTGGGCCAGACAAGCATTGTGAATCAGAGCAGTTGTGGTCTCCCTGACTCTCTCCTGGGGGAGGAGGGAGGCCCTCACATCTCGTGAGATTGGCAGGAGGCCTCTCACCCTGAGATTGGAGAGTGGAGTGGGATTCTCTGTCGCTTAGTTGCCTTTGGGTCACCAGTGTTTCTGATGGGAACTCCATGAACTCACTGGCTCACCACGGACTTGGGTGGAATCCTTCCTTTGGTCCACACCTGCTCTGTGTTCCCTTCCATCTCCCCAGTAGAATCACAGGGCACTGTGTGTGTGTGTATGTGCGTGTGTATGTGCATGTGCACGCACTGAAGTCACATGGCACTGTGTGCGTGTGTGTGTGTATGTGCGCACATGCAGGACCTATCTGTGGCAGGTTGTATGTATTATACGAAGGCCAGAAGCTTGGTGGGAATTAAGGTATCTGTGCCCTTCTCCCTAGAGTATCCTTTGTCCCCCCCCCCCCCCCCCCCCCCCCCCCCCCCCCCCCCCCCCCCCCCCCCCCCCCCCCCCCCCCCCCCCCCCCCCCGTCTTGTCTCTCCTCCCATTCCCTGACAGCCCCTGCTCTATCTTCTTTCCGAGAAAGAACAATACTACAGAGGCCAGAAATACACATAATAATTAATGGAATTTGTTTCGTGATAAAAGATGGCATTTCACATCGCTAGGGTTGGATTATTCTGTCAATAGTGTTGACAGTTGGATAACCATCTGGAGAAAATACAAACCCAAGTTAGAGTCATGCCTCACAGCCAACCTACAGCAGATCAGAGATTAAATATAAGATGAGTGGAGCCACAGATTCCTGGCAGAAATCCCAGGATGTTTCTGTGACCTCCTTTGGGAAGGGTTTCTCAGTATGTTTCCGAGTGTAAATCCATTTATGTAGACAGACTCAGAAATAGAAAAGATTGGAAAATATAAACCAGGTTTTCAGTGTTCTGTGAATGACCATGCTGTTAAAAACCTGAAAAGGAGGAACTGAAGAGCTGGCTCAGTGGTTGAGGTGGAACTCACTATGTAGATTAGGGTAACCTTGAACTAACATAGTTCTGCCTGCCTCTGTTTCTCCAGTGCTGGGGTTAAAGGCGTGCACCAATAACACACATCCCCTGCTTTTTTAATTTTTTTTTAAAGCAAGATTTATCACATATACAGTATTCTGAGTGCAAAAAATACCTGCATGGCAGAAGAGGACACCAGATCTCATTACAGATGGTTGTGAGCCACTGTATGATTACTGGGAATTGAACAGAGGACCTCTGGAAGAGCAGGCAGCAAGCGCCCTTAACCTCTGAGCCATCTCTCCAGCTCTTTCTTTTTCTTTTTCTTTTTTTAATAAAGAGTTTATTTATTATGTATACAACATTCTGTCTCCATGTATGCCCATGTGCCAGAAGAGGGCGCCAGATCTCATTACAGGTGGATGTGAGCCACCATGTGGTTGCTGGGAATTGAACTCAGGACCTCTGAAAGAGCAGCCAGTGCTCTCAATCACTGAGTCATCTCTCCAGCCCTCCAGCTCTTTCTTTTAAATTTTTTAAAAAATTTATTCTTTTGACAATTTTATATATACACCGTGTGTGTGTGTGTGTGTGTGTGTGTGTGTGTGTGTGTGTGCGCGCGCGCGCGGGCGCGTGTGCGTGCGTGCGTGCGTGCTCATCCCCTTCGATGTTCTCTTGTTTTTGTTTTTAATAACCCGTTGGATTAATAGTGCTGCCTTGATGTGCACGCCACAGCCCTGTGGATAACTGACTTCCCCCATTCCAGCAGCCTTCACTTGCTGATAGCTCTTCAACTGGGGTGGAGCCTCATTTGCCCCTCCCCCATCTGTTCTGGGATGATTGACAAGAACTCTGCTTCTGGGCTGGAAAGTCTGTGTTCCCTGCTGGGTCCCAGTGCTAGGGGTCTTCCTGCCCAGATGCTCTGCTGTGGCCACCGCCTCCACACTCAGGAGCTGGGTACAGCCCCAGCCTAAGGACATGGGTACCAGTTCCCTGTTTAATGTGTTTGTATCTTGTCATGTCCCCAGTCGACAGGGCCCATAAGCCTTTTAACTACTGAGCTTTAGGGTGGTTTAACACTTAAAATCAACATTCCCTTCTTGGGGCTGAGCCCTCCTGGGGCGTGTGGTCACCGTCTTGTCTGCTGGGGTAGCCTAGTCTGCTGGGATGGGTGTGTGTGCAGGGGTAGCCTGGTCTGCTGGGATGGGTATGTGTGCAGGGGTAGCCTGGTCTGCTGGGATGGGTGTGTGTGCAAGGGTAGCGCCTGGTCTGCTGGGATGGGTGTGTGTGCAGGGCTGGGGTAGCCTGGTCTGCCGGGATGGGTGTGTGTCGTCCTCCGGGTGTGCTGACCTTGTGGTTGTCTGACCTTGTGCAGATGAATGTTTCGCCCGCTTCTCTTGCCAGTCTCTTTGAAGAAGAATTTAAACAGGACATGGCAGCCCTGAAGGTAAGCAGTGGTTTACCCTCCTGTAAAGGGAAGTGGCATCTCACCTGCTTTATCTAGAACATTCCAGTGTTAGTACCTTGTGGTGTCAAGACCGAAGGAAAGGACCTGAATCTAGACCTGCTGAGTAAACCCTATGATGGCCTCAGGGGAGGGAGCTGGTCTGGGGCATCAGGGTGAGCTGGATTCCTCTCCTTGGGTCTGAAGAAGCCCACGTGTATGAGGTAGGATGAAATGATTGCACCTTGCCAGAATGTCCCTGATTTATCTTACATTCCTGTCAGCGGCAGGCACATTCCTGGCACCAAGGTCTGGCTGCCTGGCTTCTTATTCTCCTCAGCAGTCTTGTCTGTTGAGAGCAGGGAAACCACACAGGAAAAGCCAGTTGGATCACTGGGGCATCCTGACTCAGAATGGCTGCCACCCTGTTGTACCGGGTCTGGGCATGAGCCCATGAGCTTGGAGATCATCCCTGGTGCCTGTGTCTGCGTCCTTGCAGGTTCTGCCGCCAACGGTGTACTTGAGAGTCACTGAGAACATCCCTCAGATCATCGCTTTCATTGAAGGCATCATCGCTCACGGCCATGCGTACTCGACAGCCTCAGGTATGGCTGGGGACCCCTGGTGGAGCTCTGAGGTGCAGGTCACGCCTGGGCTGTGTGCGCCACTTCTGTGGCTGTGTTCTTGTGAGTTCCTTGGTGCTGAGCCAGTCTGTCTAGGTAGTTTTTAAATTTTCTGTTTTTATTTATGCATGCACATGTGTCTTGTTGCACATGGAGACCAGAAGAGGGGTGAGACTCCCCAGGGACTGTAGTTACAGGCAGTTGTGAGCTGCCCAGTGTGGGCTTCAGGCACTGTGGGTCCTCTGCAAGAGCAGCAAGCACTCTTGACTACTGATCTATTCTTTTTTTCAAATTCTTTTTTATCATTTTAAATTGAATATTTATGTGTGTGGGTCAGGGGGGTTGATACATGAATACAGTAGGTTAGAGAGGGGCATCCGATCCCTCGGAGCTGGAGTTACAGGCAATATGTGAGCTGTCCAGGGTGGGTGCTAGGACTTTGCTAGAGCTTTCGGTCCTGCAGGAGCTCTCTAACTACCAAGCCACTCTCCAGCTGCCTGGGGCCTTGCTTCAGCTTTCTCTTACAACCACAGAACACAGGCAAGCTAGTCCTGACCCCCTGTGGAGTCTGGGGGTAGCTGTACAGATGCTCACTGTGGTCTTATTTCAGTTTGGGGGGTGTGTGTGTGCACATGCTAATGTAATGTAGGCATGTTAAATGCTATGAAACAACGTATTCAGCCTGACCAGCCGAGCAGTTATAAGGAGAAGTTTCTAGCAGTCTTCACAGTCTGCAGAACCACTTAACCAGATATCAGGTAAAACAGCCTCACGTGGCTTTAAACAAATGCTCCATTTCTAGCTGGTTGCCTGTCCTCTGGTTGCTAGTCGTTATGCTGGGAGAAGCGTGGGAGATGCTGCCTCCACCTGCACACAGAGGTCTGGGCACCTCGTAGCCTGATATGTGACCATGGCTCCAGTAGCCTCACCAGCCATCTGGAAGCCTCTCGCTGGTCTCTTCCTCCAGGAAAGTTCTTGAGATAGATTCCTGGATAGCTTTCTGTTCTCCTCCCACATGTAATAATATGTCGAGAAGCCAGGGTAACAGTTTTTCCACATGGGTGATGGATGGAGGGCGTATGTGGTTGGGAGCTGACCACACAGCTGGGAGGAGTCCAGTAGCATCATCTCAGTATTGGTACTGAAAGCATCATCACACTGCTCAGCCGACTGAGTAGGGATGCCACCCAAAGGCCCATGCATCTGGGTGATCGTGTTCCTAGGAGACCACAGCATTTGTTCCTCCAGAACAGGCAGCAGTGTGAGTCACCAGACACCAGTTTGCAGGAAGAACAGGGACCTGTGCTGGACCCACACCATGGTGGCCTCCATTCCCTTCCTCCCTACTTTCTGAGAGTGTTTCTCCTCAGCTAAGCTGGCTGGTACCTGCCTTTACCCCGCCCTCCCCCAGCACTGAGGTTGCAAGCATGTGCAGCCATACCTGGGTTTTATGTGGGTGCTGGGGATTTGAACACAGGTCCCCTGCTTCACTGTTCACACTCTTACCTCGGAGCCATGTTGATATTCTCTGTTGAGGAATCTTCATAAGCGCTGGAGACATGGCAGGGCCCCTGGAGACTGTTCCGTCCTGTCATGCTCACCTGGGCTATTCATCTCCAACCATACCTGTGTCTTAGGGTTTTATTGCTGAGGAGACACCATGACCACGGCAACTCTTACAAAGTGTTTAATTGATTGAACCTGGCTTATAGTTTCTGAGGTTCAGTCCATTATCTTCATGGCAGGAAGCATGGCAGCGTGCAGGCAGACATGGTGCTGGAGAGGTAGCTGAGAGTTCTACATCGGGATCAGCAGGCAGCAGGAAGAGAGACACTGGGCCTCGCTTGACTGTCTGAGACCTCAAAGCCCACCCGTGACAGGCATCTCAGAATAATCCTGGAGGTGCATGCAGTGTGCAGGCATTGTTGGTGCAGAAGATGCCTGGGTAGTGTCTCTATGTGTGTGTGTGTGTGTGTTAATGCAATGTGCAGGCATTGTTGGTGTAGAAGATGCCTGGGTAGTGTCTCTGTGTGTGTATGTGTTATTTGTGTGGTAATGTGTGTTGCGTATGCAAACGTGTGCGCACATGCATGTGCAGTCTGTGCTGAAACTGTAATTGCTTGTGAGTTGTTAGACTACAGATGTGGCTGCCTCAGACAGGGAAGTGCTGAGCTCCTAACTTTATGTTAAACAGGCAGCGTCTACTTCGATCTGCAAGCACGAGGGGACAAGTACGGCAGGCTAGTCAACGTGGTTCCCAGCGCAGCCCCAGAGCCAGGTGGGTGACGCTGGTGTCCTGTGGGCCTTGTGCAGCCTCAGCCAGGTGGGTGACAGCTGGTGTCCTGTGGGCCTCTGCAGCCCCAGAGCCAGGTGGGTGACGCTGGTGTCCTGTGGGCCTCTGCAGCCCCAGAGCCAGGTGGGTGACGGCTGGTGTCCTGCGGGCCTCAGCCTCTGAGTGTGGGGTTCTGAGGTTTGATCTGGAGCAGGGAAGACGTGGGCTGACTTGGGGTCGTTAGCCCTGCTGGGAGGTTAACTCATTTCTGTGAACAGACAAGACTGCAGAAGACCCAGGCGTGCTATTTGCCCCCTCTCCTTACTTTTTTTGTAATTTTCTCTACATGGGACAACATACATGTCACAGTGTGTCCCTCTTCTGCTGCTTGCTGCTATATACTAAATTCCCGGTGTCAGTTAGTGTATTCCTGTGCTGTTTGGGCTTCAACCATTTTGTTAGATCTAAGTTTTTTTGTTTTGTTTTTTTGAGACAGAGTATTTTTGTGTAACAACCCTGCCTGTCCTGGAAACTCACTTTGTAGACCAGGCTGGCCTCAGACTCACAGAGATCCACCTGTTCCTGCCTCCCGAGAACTGGGATTAAAGACGTGTACCACCACCACCTGCTGGTCACAGTAATTTTTATGGAGAAGAATAAAAAGCATGTAGAACTAAATTTAAACTATCTATTAAGGATGCTGAGCATATGCACAGGCCTTCAAGTTACTGCTATAAGTGACCCACATGGGTTCCTGGCTGCTTTGTATTCTCAAGTCTTCTATATTTCTCCTATATTCCTTCCCCACATCTTCTGCCATTCTTCTGAAGAACTGTCACCCCCCCTTTTTTGCTCAGTGAGATTTGCTGTTTTACATGGATTTCTCTCTAGACCGTGTGCTTCTTACATTTGGTAATTAATTTATAGGCTTATTCCAATTCTGAGTGTCTATGGATAGAGACTGATGGATAACACATTCGTCACCAATCTAATTTAAAATTTTTATTATTTACTTTATTTAAATCTAAAGATTTATTTATTATATATACAGTGCTCTGCCTTCACATCAGAAGAGGGCACCAGATCTGACTACAGATTACAGATGGTTGGGAGCCACCCAGTGGTTGCTGGGAATTGAACTCAGGACCTTTGGAAGATCAGCCAGTGCTCTTAATCTCTAAGCCATCTCTCCTGCCTTTATTTTATTTATTTATTTATTTTTTTTGCTTTTTCGAGACAGGGTTTCTCTGTGGTTTTGGAGCCTGTCCTGGAACTAGCTCTTGTAGACCAGGCTGGTCTCGAACTCACAGAGATCCGCCTGCCTCTGCCTCCCAAGTGCTGGGATTAAAGGTGTGCGCCACCACTGCCTGGCTATTATTTGTTTTTGAGACAGAGTTTCATTCTGTAGCCCTTGCTATTCTGGAATTTGCTCGGTAGACCAGGTTGGCCTCAGAGTGAGGCCAAGTACTGGGATTAAAGGTGTGTATCACCGTATGTAACTTCAATCTAATTTTTAATAGTCTTGTTTACTTGGCTCTCAGAAATGATATCTACTTTTACCCTATCAGTAGCCCTCTGCTGTGGCCCATCCATGGCGGAGTATTCTGGGATCCCCATACCCGTGGGCTATGGTTTGAGGCAGGCTTGAGTTGTGCCTTCCAGGAAGACTTTGGGAGAGTTGTAAGACCCAGCAGAAGCAAGCTAGTTTTGTTGCTTTGTATCTGGTTTGAGGGGACAGGGTCTCGGGTAGCCAAGGCTAAACTTGCCATACATTGGAGGGCGCCCTGGAACTGCAGGCCCTGCTCTTACCCTCAAGCGCTGGGCCTAGATGTGTGCCACGGGGCACAGCTTTTGGTTTTATTTCCACAGGCTTTGTTTTTTTCACTGCCACTTGGGGTTTACAGTTCACAGAATGAAGTTAGAGAATTCCCACCGGGCCTCCTCCCCTGCACAGCCCTTCACACCACCCCCCAGCAGCCTGAGCCATCTGTGCCCTGCACTACCCAAGTCTGTGGTTCATGTTAGCATACCCGTTGGGATGGACAGACGTTTGGACAAATGTCACGTGTGTTCCCACGTGACACAATCCCATGCAATGTTTTCCCATCCATGAGACATCTGTGATCCATGTTTTTCCTGTCTCTGCTACCTCAACCCTGGTGATCTTTTCACCATCCGCTGCTTTGTTTCTCCAGAATGTTGCCAGATTATACACATTCAGCCCAAGCCTTTCCAGGTCGGCTTCTTTCTGTTAGTAACAGGCTTTTGTGGTTTGTTTTTTTTTTTTTTTTTTTTTGGAGACAGTCTTGCTTGATACTATGTAGCTGAAGGTGGCCTTGATCTTGAGGAACTCTTCCTGCCTCCTCCTCCTGAGTACTGCTGTTAGAGGCATGGCCACCATGCCCAGCTAGTAACATACTTTGAAGCTTTGTAGGTCTTTGCATGCTTTGGTAGTTCTCCTCTCACTGATACTGAATAATGGATGCTCTACTGTTTGTGTGCCCAGTGTCTGTGTGCTGGAGTTAATCCTTAGTCTCTCTACTTACTGAGGTCCATCTTGTCTGCGTTCATGTTTGGGCAGTTAGGGATAAGGCTGCTGTGAGTACCCAGGTGCAGGACTTTATGTGAATGTTTTCGGTATGTTGGGTAAGCTCCCAGGAGTATGATGGCAGTGTCGTATGAAAAACCTTTTTGGTTTTGTGAGAAGTTGCCAGCGTCCCCAGCAGGGAGTAACAACTCCCCCGGTCCGTCTGTGCACCCAAGGCAGCACTGTTGGAAGTCACTGCCTTATTCAAAAGCACAGCGTGAGTAAAGGTTTAAAATTGGGGATTGGCATTTAGCAAAGCAAAGGCACCGAGTCCTTCTGGTGCCATGACGGGCTCCACCACTCCCATGTGCCATTTCGGAACAAGGCTTTTCAGCTTTCTTTGCATTTTGAATTGTAGCAGTAACCCAACAGGAAGGACGCAGAAGTGGGTCCTGCTCGGTGACTGCCGTCACCCCAGTGAAGAGAGGTGGCCCTGGCACTGGGTTTCTTGCATTGTATCATCCCTGCCCAGCTCTTGCTTTTGGGAGCGACCTCTCCCTTATGACAGTGCTTGCCTCTCCTGCTCATCATCCCAAGTGGCTGCATGACCCACACATGGGTCCCTGGCACTGTGCTTGTCTCTAAGTGTTTTGTATGCCCACGTATAACGTTTCTCCTGCATCCCCCCCCCCCCCATCTCTCCTGCCATTACTCTGAAGAACCATCCTCCATCCCCATTTGCTCAGTGGGATTTGTCTCTGCCGCCCTGCTGAACTCCTGTTTGTTCCTGCCAACTTGACCCCACATCAGCGTGTGGCAAACACCTCTGAGATTCTCCGGCCTTCCCATGCCTGTGCCAGCCCTGTTCACTAGCCTGCGATTCCCAGTGGACCCCACCTTGTGCTGTGCTCAGTACACACATGGCATTGTGGGGCAGAGGTTCAGACTGACCCAGTGACATCACTTCTGTTGATGTAAGCAGAAACAGTAAGCCCAGTGACAACCACGAAACAGTGAATTGGATATGACTGTGTGGCATTTAAGAGAGGACAGAGTTTGTCCAGGGAAACCAACACAGCTCTGCTTGCTCGTCCTCTCCTGACTTTTCCTGTCCTCTATCCTGATGTTCCTCTGTGATGGCCACCTTTGCCCTCAGTAGGATTGCTGTCATTGTGAAAAATGTCACTTAGGAACTCAGTCACTCAAAGGTGACTGAACAGAACTGGCTGGGCACTGGGATCTGGTCCCTTGGCAGCGAGTGCTCTGGTGTTTGCAGGCTCGGCTGTGACCTCTGTGACCAGACTTGGTGGATACCACGCCTCTGCTTTGCTTATTGACTTGGAGGCTTTAGTCCTGCTGCCCCACTGGGGGAGAGTGGAGCGCGTTAGTAAGAGGCGTGAGGTTTGCATAGAGGGAGCATGCCGTCGTCTGGCTGGTGATGCGGGATGTCCTTCTGGATATGTGTTGCTTTTATTGGTTGATGAATGAAACTGTTTTGGCCAACAACTTAGGCATTTTTCTACCTAGCTCTCGTATCTTAACCCATTTTCTATTAATCTATGTAACACCACGAGGCTGTGGTTTACCGGTAAGATTCCGGCATCTTTCTCCTATATCAGCTACATGGCGTCTCTCTGACTCTGCCTTCTTTTTTTCTATATCTCTGTTCTGATTTCCCACCTGGCTTTACTCTGCTAAGTCACTGGCCGAAACAGCTTTCTTCATCAACTAATAAAAGCAATACATATACAGAAGGACCTCCCATACCAGCTGGAACACAGGTGGCCAGTGCCGCACCAAGGTTTCTCACTTGTCAACCCTCTGTTGCCAGCAGTTGACTCTGACAAGCGGCATGCCAGCGACTTTGCCCTGTGGAAGGCAGCCAAACCTCAGGAGGTGTTCTGGACCTCGCCATGGGGAGACGGTCGGCCTGGTTGGCATATTGAGTGTTCCGCTATGGCCAGGTAAGGCCCCAGCAGTTCCCAGGCTTCGAGTGTTCAACCCAGGTGTGACAGGGTGGCCTGACTGAGGGAGAAGACAGACTGGAGGCTGGAGGGCCATGAGGAGGAATGCCTGGCCCGGCGTGGGGTGGGCCCAGCCTTCTTGTTCAGTCTGCTGCTACCAGAACAGGCTCTGTCACACAGCAACAGAGACACCTTATGTCTCTGGTGGCTCAGGCCTCAGGGCAGGTAAGTGCAAGGGCCGGGTCACGAGGCCCTTAGCTAGGTTTGACACCTCTGAAAAGCCATTTTGAGAACATTTTTGTGCCCTGGCCAGCCCACCTCTCCAGAGTCCAGAATCTACCTTGGTCTGGTGAAGGAATAGCCCCTCCACCAGCTGGGAGACATGGACCACCCTCCCTGTCCTCAGGCAACCCTGTGTTTCCCGAGGCTTCTGGTGACAGCTTCAGCTGGCCTCCTCTTCCCTGTCAGCCTGGTAGATCCATGTGCAGCGAACAGAACCGTGTTTTTATGGTGTGGGGAATGCTTCTGGAGTGAGTGTGAGTGTGGGCCCAGATGGTGAGGCTGGGGAATGCTTCTGGAGTGAGTGTGAGTGTGGGCCCTGATGGTGAGGCTGGGGAATGCTTCTGGAGTGAGTGTGAGTGTGGGCCCTGATGGTGAGGCTGGGGAATGCTTCTGGAGTGAGTGTGAGTGTGGGCCCTGATGGTGAGGCTGGGGAATGCTTCTGGAGTGAGTGTGAGTGTGGGCCCTGATGGTGAGGCTGGGGAATGCTTCTGGAGTGAGTGTGAGTGTGGGCCCTGATGGTGAGGCTGGGGAATGCTTCTGGAGTGAGTGTGAGTGTGGGCCCCGATGGTGAGGCTGCTCACACAAGCTTGCACTCTGCCCTGCAGCGAGGTGTTTGGGAGCCAACTGGACATCCACACGGGCGGCATAGACTTGGCTTTCCCACACCACGAGAACGAAATAGCACAGAGCGAGGTCTTCCACCAGTGTCAGCAGTGGGGAAACTACTTCCTACATTCTGGTAAGCCCGGCTTGAGGCACACTTACTTTCCTGCTCTGCCAACTCTGCGTATTGGAAACACCCAGATCCGCTGGCAGAGTGGCAGGCGGGCCTGACTGACATCCTCGTTTGGGTTTCTGTAGGGTATCTATCTTTCCTTCATTCTTGGCCAATTGCATGTATGTACGCAATGCATCTCTACCGTACTGGTCATACCCACACTCTGGCCTACGGCTCCTTTTCTTTGGTAACTCTCTTAAGTCCAGTCAGTGTTGACTGATCTTGTTGGCTTCACCTTGTGTCAGTCTTGTGTCGGTAACCATGGCTGCAGCAAGCTCATTGTGCAACAGCCACATCCTGTCCAGAAGACATTTCACAGCACCCCCCCTTCTGCCTCTTAGATTCTTTCTAATCTCTCTCTCTTTTTTAATGAGATATTTCTTGAGCCTTGAGGGTCTAGATCTCCCATGTAGGGCTGGGTAATCAACAGTCACTTATCCTTAGCACTGTGGCGGCACTGCCCACTGCCCACTGCAGAAAGACCTCCCACTGGGGCTGTGTAATCGACAGTCATGTATCCCTAGCACGTTGGCGGCACTGACTGCTGTCCACTGCAGAGAGCAGCTCCTCTGGCCCCCGCTGAGAGCAGCGCTGACCCTTGTATGTAAACATAAATGCTCAAAAGGCGATTGATGCGGTGTTGTTCAGCAAACCAACAGTAGCAGGCTCTCTGCTAAGGCCTGTGAACCCTGGCCATGAGCTTTTGACCAGGTGTACAGCACCGGGCACAAATTCCCTCCTGTGTAGCAGGCCTCAGATCCCATCAGAAAGTGCTCGGTTACTGCACTGATTACATGCGTTAAAGAGAATCTCAGAGGCACCAGAATGCATCAATGTTACAGCGAAGGGACGAAAATTCAGCTCTTCCTCTTGGGTGAATTTGACAAGAAAAGCCCGAGTTTGAGTTCTCCACTTCTCTCCCTGTGTCTTCCATCTGTCTGTGCCTAAGTTGGTGGTTTCTGGCTTGTCTGGAGTCTGTTGCGTGTCTGACTGTGAAACCTGTGTTTTGTGTGTCTACCAGAGGGCTTTGCTCATACTGTGTTGGGTCACGTAGGGAAGAAGTGAGGGATACATTAGGAAATTAACAGAGTTTTACAAGGGGGTAGGTACGTCATTTCCTCCCGCTAACCACCGGTCCTGAAACACTCAGTTCTACAAACACGCCACTGCAGAGATATCTGTGCCGTGCCAACACATACAATCGTTATTCTTGAACAGCGTCCCCTTTGACCTGCTTGCTCTTTTTAGCAAGTGATTACTCTAACACACATACACACACATGCATTGCTCTTTGGGTCAGGGGCATGGAAGCATACACAACTTATGATAAAAGCTATGCATTAGCTTAGGTTGTAAAAGTTGATTACACAAGGAACCCAAAGCAGGTTAGGTGGGTTTTGACATTGTTCTCTTAAAGGCAGGTTAAGCAAACAGTCTGAGTACACGGTAGGATTTTTGGCTGTCTTAAGTGACCTCGAGGTATATTATTAACTTGGCTGTGAGGTCCAGTAAAAGTTCCATTGTCTTTGAATATAAGAGATGTTCTCCTATAATACTGCCACAGGTTACCATAACCTTTATGCCACTGTTTCACCAGTGGGCACAGCTTGCCTGGCAGCTTGGTATCATAGCAGATCGAGTTCACTGTGGGGGATACCTTTAATGATTCTTCTCCCTCCGAGGTCAGCATAGCACCTTCTGGGGGGGAAGTTCTCAGGTCCAGCACTGCGGAAGGGGCAGAGGCAGGTGGATCACTGTGAGCTTGAGACCAACCTAGTCTATATAGTGAGTTCTAGAGCAGCCAGGAATACCTAGAGAGACTTGTCTCAAAGAACCAACATCCTCCAACAATAACTACAAAACCCAAAGGACCCAGTGGATTGGCAGTGACCGTGGTTCCCAGAAGCAGGTCAGAGGCAGGAATGAGCCCACCATGGGGATGAATGATGAGCAGAAGAGCACACGTCAAGTGTGCTGAATGTCACCAGGTCAGCGCTGCCCTTCCAGATGACAGCTCAGGTAGGCGAGGCAGGTTTGGCAGTGGTCAGGTTATGTGGTACCAGACACAAGCGTCTACACATGGAAATGCAGTTCTAGGAGGTGGATGTGGAAGCCATGGTGCCCTGTAGGGCGACAGTAAATGCAGGGTTGCTCTGGTGACACTGCCTACATCGCCAGGAAGTCCAGAGAGAGGCTGCTGGCCTGGTACGTGCCGACCGTCCTGTTCTTGACGTCCGGTGCATTTCATTTCCGGCTCCTGTCAATTCTCTGTGTGACGTATATAGAATTAAGGCTCACGGTTATGTTTCTTTGGAGAGGGCACTTTTTTTTTTTTTAAAGATTTATTTATTATGTATACAACATTCCTTCCATGTATGCTTGCATACCAGAAGAGGGCACCAGATCTCAGTATAGATGGCTGTGAGCCACCATGTGGTTGCTGGGAATTGAACTCAGGACCTCTGGAAGAACAGCCAGTGCTCTTAACCTCTGAGCCATCTCTCCAGCCCGGAGAGGGCACGTTTTTAATAAGTTCCCAGGGAGATCCATTTTGCAGCACCCTCCACGTGAAGGTGCGATTGGAAAAGAAGGAAACATCTGTCTGGGACAGCAAGACCCTCCGCTGGGGATGAGCCTTGTTGGGATACACCCCAGGTTAGGAGGTCACTGAGGGGGTTTGGTTTTCCGCCTGTGTCTCATGTACCTGTGGGAAGACAGCTGTAGCAGAAAAGCTGACAGCTACACCCCAAACCTGGGTGACCAGTGGCAGGTGACCAGCCAGTTACATCGGTGTTTCCGAACAGGGCAGGAACGCATAGGTGAGGAGGCTCTGCTGTCCATCACACTGACTTGATGGAGGAAGGTCATTGGTTAATTAATAAAGAATACAGTTTGTGTGTTGTTATTTCTGGTGTAAAGCTAGCCGTGTGGGAGCCGGGCGGGACGAAAAGCAGGCCCGCAGCTCCTTCAACACTGACTGGGGGCTGAGTGGGCCCGTTACTGTACCCCCATGGTGCAGTCTTGTCCCGGAGGGCTGCACACAGCACACATTGCAGGTGCAGGTTCCTGTAGCTGTGGGTTACTGCCCTATATCCTGGGGGACACAAGCCTCATGCCTCCATGGGCCCCGCTGTGTGCTGGCTCAGGGCTGTGGATAGAGAAAGGGAACTCTGCTCTGGTGTCCTGTTAACTGTGCCGGGGTCTGCCCAACTCAGAGCGACCAGGCCAGCTCTGGTGGAGCTCAGGGTTGCCTGGGAGGCTGTAACTGCGGGGGCTCTCCACACCCGACTCTCAGAGGGGACACTTTTCTTTTTGTTTCAGGGCATTTGCATGTGAAAGGCAACGAAGAAAAAATGTCCAAATCCTTAAAAAACTACATCACCATTAAGGTAATGTTAGGCAGTGTGCTTTCCTCTGCAAGTGGAGTGACTGATGACTGCTTACGTGGTTTAGGGGCCTCTGGGGATGAAAACCGCAACATCAGACTCAGTCTGTCCTAGCTCTGCAGTCCCCCCCCTTCCTTATCTAAAGGTCCACGGCATCCCCTTCAGGCCTGCTGTTCTCTCCTCTGCTTTCGCTGTGGTCCTGCCTTTCCTCTCCCCTTCTCAGAATTGCATTTCTTCCCTTTCTCTCTCGAAAGATTTATTTATTTTGTGTGTATGAGTGTACATATATCTGTGTATGCACGCGGTTCCTGTGGAGGCCAGAAGTCGTTGGATCCCCTGGAACTGGAATTACAGACAGTTGTGGGCTGTGAGCCTCCATGTGGGTACTGAGAATCCAGCCTGGGTCCGGTCCTCCGTGCTCTAAGTGTCTCTCAGCCCCTGCATCTCTTTCTTCCTCTTCCCTCTTGTAAGTTTCCTTTCAAGCTTCACCTTTGTGAGGGGCTGAAGAGCACTTCTTAAGTGGCTTGAGTTCCAGCCTCCTTGGTCTTTGTGCCAAGTTTAACTTGAATCAGTGAATAAGTGGACACTGTTATACACACATTGCTGACCTGTTAGAAACCCATGTTTGTGACATTCCTTCCTCTGTTCTCAGTGCAACCACTAACAGCTAGAATGCTTCCCTGTAATCCAGGCTGGGATCACCAGCAATCCCACAGTGCACCTCACCTGAATTCTGATTGCTGCTTTGTGGCCAAAACACACTTGATAGCTTTCCTTCTCTTTAAAACGAGGACCCAGTGATGGTCTGTAAATTTTGCTCTGCGGCCCATCTTTTCTGGCTTGCAGGCTGACTTGTATCCCATTGTTCACATTAGGCTTCTGGTATACGGCAGAGCCTCAGTTCTTGTTTTAGAATTAGTGTGTGTGTACGTGCACATGCATGTGGAGATACATGCATGCAAGGGCAGGTACCCTTGGAAAAGGGAGTCAGAGCTCCTGGACCTGGATTATAAGTAGTTGTGAGCTGCCTGACATGGCTGCTGGGAACCAAACTCTGGTCTTTTGCAAGAACAGTATGTACCATCTCTCCAGCCTAGACCCTCAGCTTCCTTCTCCCCATAACGTGGAGGAAGAGTCCGAGCTGTTCCTTTGTTGAATACCCCATGGTTTGGGTTTGTCTGTGTCTTTGTGGTATTGTTTCATTGTCTCTCCCGTGTGGGCTTCACTAGACCCGATGCTCACAGGCGTGGTTCTGTTTGGGGGGCACGGTGGTGGGAACACGTCACAGGCGTGGTTCTGTTTGGGGGGAGCACGGTGGTGGGAACATGTCACACGTGCTGCTTTGCTTTCCCCGGGTTGATGCCCAGTGGTGGTGTCTGGCCACTGTTAGAGGTGATCACCAGATCCTTCCATGATGGAAGGCTTGACCTCCTCAGGAACTTCAGGATCTGAGCTGGGCTGCCTTGCTCCCTGAGTCCTTCTACCTGGGGCTTTAGTGCCGCCCATGTCTTGGGGGGTTCTCTTGGCCAGGGTTCTGTGATGCCTTTTTCAGTTGTTTTTAGACTGGCTGTGAGCTGAGGATGTGCTTGGTGCATTGTGAGTTCAGTCCTATTGTCAGGGTCACTCCTCTCAGCCAGGATAGGCCACGTCTGCTTCAGAGGGATCATCAGGAGAGCAGCAGGCAAAAGCCCCTTCATGTGAGCACACTTCCCACCTTCCTATCCTGTGTCTGGGGAAGGAGTCCAAGCCTTTCCCAGAAGACAGATGCTTCTGGAAGAAGCGGTGGGAGCATGGGTCCAGTGGCATGAGGGAGTGCTCAGTGACACATGGGAGGTCACTGGATGGAGAAGATGTTTCTAGAGCAGGGCTCAGAGCAGAGCCCATGGTCCTGATGTGTTACCGTAGCGTGCTGTGTGTGGCGACACATCCATGCTGGTGCCAGTGATGTCTCTGCTCATCCAGTCACATGTCCACTGGAATGCTGCTCTATCTGGTTGTTTCCACACTGACAGATGGGGACAAACAGGACACAACTGACTGGGTCATGCCTGCAGCGTGTGCTGCATGGTGGACAAGGTGGTCAGAGCTGGCGAGGACTCGGACAAGAGACGGAGCACTCTCATACTGGGGAGAAGCGCACACAGGAGCTAGAACTTGAAATCACAGGGCTGTTATTCACCAAGGTCACATGGGACAGTGAAGCCACACATACACTCACGTATGCTTGGATACATGTACACATATACTCATGCACACTTAGGCACATGTGCACTGACATTCAGACGCATGCACCTACATTCACACGTGCACACAACACTTGTGTACATGCATACACTTGTACATATGCAGACACATACATACACACACTCGTATGTAAGCCCAGTGCAGCTTGGGGAAGGAATGCCAACTCCCCTGCACTGTGGTGCATTCCTGCTTTGCTCCGGGGTTACTGCTGAGCAGTCCTGGACTGGACCATTTCGTCCATGATCGAATGGACGGAGGCCATCTCTGTGCCCACCCACGCTGTGGCCCTGCACTTCCTCAGCCTGTCTTGTCCATCGTAGCCAGGCAGTTCTGGGACCTGTCCTTGCCTGATGAGCAGCAGCCACCGAGCATGCTCATTCACGCCAGCCAGTGATGAGGGAGTGAGATCAGTGAGGGACAATTCTGTGAACAGGCTGTGACTCAGAGACCACTGTGGCTAAACAGAAGGGCTGGAGGGGTCGAGGGAAGTCTCCGGGCACTGGCTCAGGACTGTTTGACAGCCGGCCTGGCAGGGGTGAAGTGAAAGTGCCTGCTTCGTTTCCTCCCTGCATTCCTTGCCTCCACTCTGCTCCATAAGGGGTCTCCAGGACTCCCGGCCCCACATCAGGAGGGCTTGCTGGATGTCCTGAGTGGAGCCTTGTTCTCTGCTCACCTTTCCCACATTCTCTCCCATGGGGGCAACTTTCATTTTATTTTGCTTTTTAAAGATTCATTTATTTATTATCTGGCTCCTCAACTCTTTCTGCCCAGTCTCCCACAATGATCCCTGAGCCTTGGGTGTAGGAGCTATGTTGTAGACTGATCAGTTGAAACTGGGCTCCTTCTGTTATGGTCTCTGTCCATTACAAAGAGAAGTTTCCTTGATGAGGGGTGAGGATTACACTGTGAGCATAAGGACAAATATTTAGAATGTAGTTAGGGACTGTGCTGGTGTCATAAAGAGGTAGGTGGTTTAGGTTCCCCTCCAAATCTGTGACTTCATTAGCCCTATGTGGCTGGCTAGGTTTCCAGTGCCAAGCAGGCCTATGTCCAGCTGAGAAGAGTTGCTGGTTAATTCCAAGGCTGGGCATCACTATTGCACCCTTAGGGTTCCTGTGGTCCGTGGGCATCATAGCTGGCTAGCACCATTGGTTGCTGGGTTCCTATGGTCTGTGGGCATCATAGCTGGCTAGCACCATTGGTTGCTGGGTTCCTATGGTCTGTGGGCATCATAGCTGGCTAGCACCATTGGTTGCTGGGTTCCTATGGTCTGTGGGCATCATAGCTGGCTAGCACCATTGGTTGCTGGGTTCCTATGGTCTGTGGGCATCATAGCTGGCTAGCACCATTGGTTGCTGGGTTCCTATGGTCTGTGGGCATCATAACTGGCTAGCACCATTGGTTGCTGGGTTCCTATGGTCTGTGGGCATCATAACTGGCTAGCACCATTGGTTACTGGGTTCCGGTGGTCCGTGGTGGGCATCATAGCTGGTTAGCACCATTGGTTACTGGGTTCCTGTGGTCCGTGGGCATCATAGCTGGCTATACCATTGGTTGCCTCCTTCCTTTGGAAGCCTGCGTAGTGCCTCCTGGTAATATGAAAGCTGGTTTTCAGGGAGGAGGCTTTCAAGTCAAGTCAATAACCTGCTGGGTGTCATAAATTAGAGCATTGTCAGTGGTCAGGGAACAGTGCCATCACATGGGCTGGGCAGTCCAACCCTTAGTCTGGGTGTCAGCTTGTTCTGACCTCACAAGAGCTGTTGTACTCTCTTCCCGTTGTGCACACTGTCCCCGCCAGTCACCAGGTCCCCTGGCAACAGTTGCCCATCTCAAGCCAATGTCAGGTACGGGGCTCCAATAGTAGAACTTGTTTCCCAGGCTTGTCCACAGGAGTGTCGGGTATCCCCCTCAGCCCTTCCTGCGGGTATGAAGACTGTGGGAATGGGGTGAACGATGCACAAGTTCCGGAGGAATCAGTGATGGTGAGGGTTGGGCGAAAACCTCCCCGTTCATGCTGTCTGTACTCCCCTGCATCACCATGGCCGGTGCTACAATCCTGTGCGACAGCTGCCGTGTTCTGTTTCTAGGACTTCCTGCAGACCTTCTCCCCCGACGTCTTCCGGCTTTTCTGCATGCGCACCAGCTATAGGTCAGGTGAGCTGGCTCTCATGTGCCTGGGGAGGCAGAATGTGGGCCTGTGTCAAGGCCATCCAGGCACTGTGCTTGTTGGCTTGCCCCAGGTTTATTGGAGAAGTGAGCCTGGGAAACACAAGCTCAGTGCCCAAGGCAAGGCTGTTCTTTCAGAGCCTCTGCCCACCTATGCACATATCCCTGTGTGAGCCCTGCTACCCAGAAGGTTCCAGGACAGCTTTGGCTGGAACCTGTTCAGGGCAGGGCCCATATTCTCAGGTAGCCCTTTAACCACGGCACTGTCTTCCACTGGTTTCTCAGGTACTGTGTGCTTCAGGGCACACCGGGCATTTCCTCGGTGACCATCCCTTCCTTTGCAGCCATTGAATACAGTGACAGTACCCTGCTGGAAGCCAAGCACACCCTGCTGGGGCTGACTTCTTTTGTAGAGGACGCACGAGCCTATGTAAGAGGGCAGCTGACCTGTGGCCCTGTTGGTGAGGATGTGCTGTGGGAGAGGTAAGCAGTCCCACCCACTCATGCCACTTTAGGGACAGGTAGCTAGAGGGAAGAGGCCACCGGCCTCCCCTCCTGCCAGCTGTCATCCCCGCTTCCTTCTGCTCCTGAGCCCTGCATGCTGTGGTCATCTAGAGTTGGCATGTTTCCATCTTGGTCCAGTGGCTCAGCATTGCCACATTTGATGGGGAGGGGTTGTCACATCTACAGTTGACTATTGCAGAATCACCCAGGTGGCTGCTGGGCACTCACTGTGGGTAGGCTCTTTTCGCTCAAGACTTTATTCGGCTAAGGAGGTAGCTCGAGATTTTGTTACAAAACAGTAAACATTTTTACTTCTGGGGGAAAGATGTCTGTGTATTCAGGGTTGGTGGCAGGCCAGCCTAGGGCACCAGAGGGCTGCTGGAGCCCCCTATCTGCCTCATCGCGACAGGTGACTCCCGTATCTCACTCCAGGCTGAGCATCACCAAGAAGGCCGTGAAGGCTGCGCTAGCCAATGACTTTGACACGCCGAGGGCAGTGAACGCCATCCTGGACCTTGTGCACCAAGCCAACAGACAGCTTAGGGCAGTCTCGAAGGTAACGTGAGTGCTGTGGATGTCAGGGCGGGGGCTACTCCTAGGGAAGGAATGGCCAGATTCTACAACCATCTAGACTTGTCTCCCAGAGCTGGCAGTTTGGGGGCAGCCCCCATCTATGACATTCAGTAGTGAACACAGGAACATGGCAGCGGGTGGATCAGCTCTAGCTCCTGATGTGCAGATGCTTGTGTTGTCTGCTGCCACCCTGAGTGCTGTTGAAGCAGGGAGGTGGTTTGACTGCGTCACTCAGTGGTGAAGTGTTTGCCCAGCACATACAAGGCTGTGAGTTCAATCCCCGGGACCCCCACCCACCCAACAATGAGAAGCTGTCTGCTGGGACCTGGACTCAGATGCCACCCAACTGGGTCTCGGGCCACCTGATCCAGCACTGGGGGGGGGGGGGGACGGCTCCAGATGGCCTTGTAGTTTTGGATTCTTGAGTGACACTGTCAGCACTTCAGGCTCACATTACACACTCTGGAGGCACCAGCGGGTCAAACCAACCATACTCAGGGAAGCTGGCTGTGGGTGATCCCAGAGTTCCTCAAACTTACCCTCAGCCTTCTCATTTCCAAGGGTCACTTCCTGTGAGTCCCACACCACTTGGCCACCTCTGGGGGCTCCTCTAGAGGGAAGGAGAACACAAGCTGATTAGGGAACAGGTTGGCACTGCCATTCCAGGAATGAGGCTTGGCATTTCAAGGCTCTCTGAGTCAGTCAACAAACACCAGACTTTCCAGGATTCCCTTGTTTTCTGCTCAAATCCGAGACCCACAGTTCCCATCACCTTCCCTCTACCATGCCCTGCACTGTACGGTGGCTGTGCTTAATCCACAGGACCTAGATTCGCAAGGTACTGCCGTGGTATGAAAGGCAGGCGGAGGCACACAGTACCAGTGAGCCTAACTGTGCAAGAGCCCATAGAAGCCAAAGCAGAAACGCTCTGACCTCATCCATCGTCTTGCAGGAAGCTGGCGGCCCAAGAAGTCCCACTGTGTTTGGCGCCATCATCTCCTACGTTGAGCAGTTTTTCGAGACCGTTGGGATTTCTCTGGCAAATCGACAGGTACGTCCATCTCTTCAAATGCTGCGTTCTGAAACTGTTGACCTATTGCACACTGGCCTCTCCTTTGGAAAGTGTTACTGAAGGTGACTAGTCCCTGGCTGGAGGCGCAGGGTGCCTGTTAGCGGACACTCCACTACTGACCAGATTGCAGCAGAGCGAGTCAGCCTAGGGTGTACAAGCTGATACTCCAGGTACAGAAAGGTGCACATGAAGACATTTTCCCGAGCCGTATGAGATGGTAGTGGCATGAGTGGGTCCCTGGTCCCTACAGTTGGCATCTCTGGTTGCAGGAGGCCCTCGGGCTTCCCTACCTGTCTGGTGGTTCCTGCACAGCACAGGTCCAGTTGCTGGAAAGATTCTGCCTTCCCAGACCTTGATGTAAGCCAGCTGTGTGGGAGGTCCCATCTGCCTGTGTAGTGACGGCTGTCCCAGACCCTGGATGTCCATTCCTGTGATGTTCAGCTGTACCAAGTAGATAGGGCAAGGCTACCAGGTTCTTCCACAACCCCCTTCTCCCTTCTAAGTGGGAGAGGCCTTGGTCCTATGAAGCCAGCCTGGTCCACAAGGAACACACAAGTCTCCTATCTACTCAATTCCAGTTCAGTTAAGCATGGCTTTGGGGCTGGCCGTGTTCCCTATTGTGTCCCATCACCCTCTCCATGCAGGCCTCAGTGCGTGGAGGTGAGGTGTGTGCATCCAAGCACATGTGATCATATCTAAGTTGGCTACTGCACCTATCTACGGCTCCATTCAGCCCCGGTTTACCCTGTTCTCTCACCAGGGAGAAGCCCCCGTAGCTGACAGGTCAGCTCCTCTCTGGGTGGCCTCTCCTCTGTGCACACGTCATTCTGCTGGTACTCTCTGGCCCCATGCACGGATGTCACTGTGGGTTCTAAAGTCCCCTTTAGGGGGCTGGAGAGATGGCTCAGAAGTTAAGAGCACTGACTGCTCTTCCAGAGGTCCTGAGTTCAGTTCCCAGCAACCACATGGTGGCTCACAGCCATCTAGAATGAGATCTGGTGCCCTCTTCTGGCCAGCAAGCATACATACAGACAGAACACTGTATACATAATAAATAAATCTTTAAGAAAAAAAAAAGTCCCCTTTAGGGCCCCTTTCCTCCTCACTCACTTCACTCTGCTGTGCCTTCAGCTTTAGGGCTGTTCTGGAAGAGACGAGGCATTCTCAGAGCCACCCTCCCAAAGCATTCTCCACTCACTGGGCTGGAGCCTCGCCACGCCTCTGACAAGGTCAGCCAGAGTGTCAACTCTGGCACTCCTGCCAAGTCTTCTGTAGTCCTTTCTAGGGCCTCTTGCTGGCTTGTTTTTGCCTTAACAGGGGACCAGCTTTGGGTCCATCAGCCAGTGTATAACAGGACAGATGGCTTATGGGAGCTCAGTAAAGGGTTGTCTTTATTCATGCGTAAGGCTTAGGCTGCTAGACTCTCCTGAGACGACAGGATTCTGCTGATACTTGTCACATCTACAATTGTTGCTGAGGCCTAGATGGGACCGAAGTAGGTATTACCATCTTAACTTGAGCCAGTGAGAGAATGAAGTGTTTCTCAGAGCCAGTCTGGTGCTAGCTAGCCTCATTCACCCTCCAAGATTCCCTAGAAAGATTCAGCATTAGGAAACTGATGAAGACAAGACCCAAGCAGGTCTCAGCCCAGTACCTAGTTGAGTGTGGTCTCCTAGGCTATGGACGGGGGACCCCGCCTTGCTGGGCATACTCATTAACAGTGTCTCATTTAAAGGAGGCTCAGTGTGTTTCAGGAGACAGCGGCACAGCAGCTCTGCACTGTGTGGTGGATGAACTTGTGCGCTTCAGGCTGAAGGTCCGCCAGTACGCACTGGCCACACCCGGGGCGACTGGCGCAGCTCGGAGACAGCAGCTCCAGGAGAGGCAGCCCTTGTTAGAGGCATGCGACGCCCTGCGCCAGGACCTCGCCACCCACGGCATCAATATTAAGGTTAGCAATACTGCAAATACAGGGGACACCAATGTCGCAAGACAGTGGCCAGTCATCCAGCTTCTGCGAGAGATGGCAGAGGTAGAGGTAGTGTGGGAGGAGGGTATATAAGCTGTAAGAGCTGCCAAACTCCACCCCTGCGGGCAAGGAGCTGGCTCCCTCTCCTGGCATCCCACTGCTATCTCCAACTTCACTTTCTGACCTGTCTCCCTGAGTAAGAGGATGCCAGACCTATCAGAGCCTTCTCCTTCAGGACAGAGGCAGCACAACCTCCACTTGGGAACTGCTGGATCCACGGACGACACACCAGAAACCTGAAAGTTGAGGATGAGGCAGCTGCAGTCCCACGTGCTGCCATGCCATGGTGCCTGCTCTTGTGATGAAAACTTTATATTAAAGTTGCAATTGTGGCTGTTTAGCCAACAGTAAAGTGAGCCTGTGCTGCCTGCTGTGTGTCCACAAGTGCCTGGAAACCTAGTAGGGCAGTGCCACGACGGCCACATTCTCAACATTCCCTTCCTAAGTTCACATCAGCTGTTCAGGAGACATTTCTAGACATGGCGAGCTGGCCCCATGACAAAGGACTAGACGACACGAGGAGCACCAAAGAGCAGACCCCCATTAACTAAGGCATGCAGCTGCCAGGCCACACTAGGGAGGGAGGCTCAGCAGGTGGAGAAGAGGCCACGGTGAGCAGCAGGGACACAGACACAGGTGACAGTTCTCCCTGCCATGCCCTAGTGCCAATGGCACCCAAGTCTCCAGCCCTTCCCACGGGCCTCTAAGATCTCCAGGTGCATGGTCACTGGTCGTTCTGAACTCCTTCATCAAGTTAACACCCAGACTCTGAGTAGAGAACTATATGGCCTGAAAATGCTCACGGGGGTCTGTGAACCTCAGTTAAAACCAAACCCTGCACCCACCGTCCACTCCAACACTGGAGCCCTGTGAGGGGTGCCTAGTGATGGAAGGGAGCGAGAAGCAAAGAACAGACTCCAGTGTGCTGTCTCGGAGCCCCATACAGGTGGGCTGCTAGATCTTTATTTTCACTTTCTCCTTGTTACTGCCGAGAAGCCAAGAAAACCGCACAAGAGCACATTAGTGTCATAACACCTCAACTCTATTTAGTCAGGATGGACGGCTGTGTCCTAAATTCTCTCTCAGCTAGTTTAGGCTCGGTACGCAGAGGACAGTCTGTGGCACCCTTCAGTCGGCACTGGCTTAGGTCGTGAAGAGCTTGCTGAAGGCAGGTCCTACCTCGGCGATCATGTCTGTGGTGGTTGTGGAGCGCCCGTACTTCTGGAAAGCCTGATGATTACACTCCCTTGTGAGGGTACAAGCACCCCAGGCAGCCACCAGTAGTGGGCTGAAGCTGTAAGACAAGAGCAGAATCAAAGGCCTCATCGTAGACCCTGTCAAGAGCTCTGGGCTCTGACTTTCCACCCATTTCTATCTTCAACTCCCAAATAGCAAGCTCAAGCCAGCTGGGCCCTGAGAAGGCAGCTAAAGTAAACTGCAGCTGAGCCCAGACACCTGCATTTGTGACTGGCGTATGGCTCAGTGGCAGATCACAGGCCTTGGGAGCACTAGGAGGCCCTGGGTCCATCCTGGAGATGGCCCAGAACCCAACAGAGGGAAGCAGCTCTTCCTGGTGTGAGGCTCTAACAGCACTCCCTGGTTTTCTTAGCGTGTGGAGGGACACCTGAGGTCCGCATGCAGACCCGCTACTCTACTGTGCACCCATCTTGGGCTGGAGGACAAACTAGAACCGCCACTCCCCTGCAGAACTGAGGAAACTAACGTCCACCTGAAACACCATTTCCTCCAGTGGTGTTGACTGGGCACCTCATTCCTAGTATATGTGGCCATAATGGTCCACAGGACATTATGTGTGGGCAATCTGTGAGCTTAGCATCCTGCTGCCTCAGAGATCACACACCTATGAAGACCAGTGTCCAGGACGGCCATCCCTCCACCCTGTCTGCTCTCTACTTCAGTTTATAGAAGCCACTGCTGAATTCTCCACAGTGGTGCCCTAACCAACCATGGCCGCCAGGGCCCCACCCTCAGCTGGTAGCTTTGGGTCTAGCATGTGTGTCGACAGGGGACCTTTGGAAGCAGATGTCTCCCACAGAGCACTGATAGTTCACCCAGGACACTACAGGAATTTGACATGTGAGCTGCTGGAGAGCTGAGGGCATTAATGATATCAAAGCAGGAGAAAGGAAGGGTGCCATACCCATTTGTTCTCTCTGGTCCAGCAAGGAGGGCCCAGTGCGCCATGACACCCAGGGAGCCTGACAGGAGGTCTCCTTGGCCCCCACACCTGCGGCTGCTGCCTTCTTGGCTGCACACAAGCACTGTCAGGATAGATGCGAGCAGACATCAGTACCAACACCGTGAGCTGCCCCCCTCCCTGCTTGTTCCAAGGAGGCCCTCCACCCCAGACCAGGAGGATGAGCTCCTGAGAGAGCAGTGCTGCAGGGCACAGCCTGAGCCCAGCCCAAACGCCTTCTCCACACGTCTCCAGAACCCCACCAGCAGCATGCCCGGGCACCTTCCTTGGGTCCTCCCACTAACCACTATATACCTGTGCACGTGAAAATGGTTTCCTTAGGAAATGTTTTTAACCCTGGTGCTACATTTGAGTGTGCTGGCATCAGGAGTGCCTCGTCACTATGGTGTGGCTGCCCTGAGACCATTCCGTGCATTTCCTGTCCTGGCTGTGGGTAGGTATGTGTGTGTTCACATACATGACCATGTGTCCCTTGGTGTTCTAAAGACTCTAAATTCAGGTTTCTGTCAATGACTCCATATCTCCCTAACAGCTACATGAACTAACAATATAATGGTGGCCTGGCCACCCCTGGGAGTGCGGAGTGGCAGACTTACAGGACACCCACAAGCTCCCCCTGCCTCCACTCTGCTCCACTCTTCAGCTCCTAGGAAAAGGCACTGACATTTCCAGCGAACGCCAGTGCTGAGGTTTCCTTTACTGTCTAGTTATAATAAGACAAAATCCAACAAAAGACCCAAATGGCTGCTATTATGTGTGGGCGCCTTACTGAAAGGGAGGTGACAGGTAGAGATGGCGAACCAGGAGTATGCAGGCTCTCTGTCTCAACCCTGCTTCCTGAAAATGTTTTTAATTTCTGTGTGTGCGTGCACACGTGTGCACACATACATGTGTGCTTGAGTGTGTACCACACCTGGCTGGAAATGGTTTCAAGTCAGTCAAAGTGCAAGGTCTGAGACCCTTGCTGAGCCTGCAGTGAAGGCCCAAACATCCTTGTGTCCCCACAGCCCATGCAAACCTTCAGGAGCACACAGAGGCCGTGGCTGGCAAGTTAAACGTGTACCAACAGGTATGGATCAACATGAGGCTTCCAGATCATGTCAGCACAGCCTCCGGGTGGCATGGAAGGTCCCCACTCACCCTGCTGACCATCGGAGATCAGGTCATGCTCTCCCTTCTGGACCACTGTGATGTTCCCCAGGGCCTGGCTGAGCTTCAGTACGGATTCATTGTGGCCCTGGGTGTCCACAGGACTATTGAGCTACAAGACAAGCACAGAAATCAAGTCCTGGACACAGGTTCACAGGAGGCAAGGTGAGCACTCATCCTGAGAAGTCTCAGATGTTCATGCCCACAGAAATCAAGGGCACTGCTAAGGGCTGAGGGGTAAGAGTATGAAGTGGCCAGGACATTCCTGGTACCAGACCCTCCAAGGGATGCTGACACCAACGCTTACTCTCGACTTGTCCTCCTCTCCCTGACTAGACCAGGTTGTAGAAACAACACAAACTTGGATGCTGCTGTTGTGCGTGCCCCTCCCCCACAGAGAGCACAGGTTTGGGACATGTGCCATCAGGACTCATGGCTTCACTTTATTTCATTCTGTCCCCACTCTCCATGGAGCAGAGGCTGTAAGTCAGCTAGCACTTGAGGACGGAGTGACTGGGCCTGTGACCACAGCAGGCAGTCCCTGGCAAAAGCCCACCACACCATCATTCATCCATTTATATGGGAGCTACAGGAGGCATGAGAAGCATGCGTGGTAGAGCCCAGGGCAAACATCTCTAGGGATCTGCACGTCGGCCTCCCTGCAGAGACAGGCCCATGCCCTGAGATGGGCACAGCCCTGGAGCTCACTTCACCCCAGGTCAGGTTCCTCCTTCCCCAAAGCCCATGAACTCACCACAGCTTCCCAGAGCCTGCCGAACTCCACTCGGTTGGGGGTGAGAATGGCCTTTTGGTAACTGTGGATGAGGGCCGGCTGCTGAGCTATCAGCCACAGGCCATCCTGTGCAGAACAAGGACGCACCTTCACCGCTGGGCCTCAGAGACCCTGTGCTGACTGTGTGGGGAGATGAGAGGCCACACTCACCGCGTCGATGACCACAGGGATGTCCCTGGCCTTGCTTGCTTCCAAAATGCCCTGCCAGAAAAGCAGACAAGATGAACAATGTAGAGGGCAAAAAGCCACGGGCACACATCTAAGCACTGGAGAAGCCAGGGAAGTTGGACACAGCTTACCCTTCAGTGGAAGGAGGGGTTTAGTTGCTCCCCCTGAAATGTCAGGAACGGATGTGGTTTTACAACCTGGTGATCTTTTGCTGTCTGAGACAGGCTCTGCCATATCCCCAGAATTTATGGTTTACTCATCCTAGACCCTTTCCCCTTACATCTCGAGCACTGTTTCTAGTTTGTGAGGTCACCTGTACTTTACACCAGCCTGAGTGGCTCCATGTTACTTTAGGGCCAGGCCACCCTGACCCCACAGGCCCTTGTTTACCTCCATCAAGCTCCCTAGATTGTAAACCTTGGGGACTATCTACAGTACCCATTTCTGTGAAAAAAGCCAGAAGGACTTTGTAAAGACTCTCAGTGTAAACATGTCTTAAACTGTTGTGCACTTGAGCTGAGGTAATTGTTATCTGAATATTTTTTCCAAAAATTGTGCTGTGCTTAAATATGGCTAAAGTAAAATGATCTGGGCCAGAGTCCAAGAGTCTTGGGCTCCAGCACCGGTTACCAAAATCGGGCTGTTTCGTTCTTTCCTCACCCCGGTAGCTTCCCGGCCTGCTGGAAAGCCTACAGGGGACCTTCCCACAGAACAAGTGCATCTCCCCAAGAGGAGGAAGGAGCTGGCAGTGCTTATGCAGTCACAGGCAAGCAAACAGTACAGCCAGTTATAAAACAGCAGGGGCAGAGCCAGCACAGCTCCCAGACCAGCTCACCAAGCCCCAACTGCATCGCCAAGTGCCCAGCTCATGCCGCGCTGCAGTACTTGATTTCTGGGGATTCTCCAATCAACTGTCACCCATCTCTCTACCATTTTACTCACATGCTTTTAAACAGCAGGTGATCATAACAGCAAACCCTTTTCCCACTGGACTGATCCTTTGTCCTCTTCTGAAAGCCTCAAAGGCTTCCCATTTAAAAAGTACAGATATATATTAATCAATGTACTGTTATTATCAACTAATATGCTGCATATGGTAATCAGATGGGCCAGTAAAATGGCTCACAGTAACGGTGCCAAGCCTCTACAGGGTACTAGGAAAGTTGACCTCTGACCTCCACCCATATGCTGTGACATGCACATTCACACATGCAGCGTGTGCACACAAATACATTTTTAAGATTAAAAGAAAAAAGTGATAAACAAACTAGTAGAAAACACGAGAAGACGAAGTAAGTGTAACTGGGGCCTAACACCCGTGGTCCTTGTTTCCCGAGTCCTAGTTGGGGTGACTTGTCATAGGAAGCACAGTGAACAAGAGCAACTTGGGGAGGAAAGGGTTTATGTAGCTATACTTCTGCATTATAGTCTACCACTGGAGGAAGCCAGGGCAGGAACTCAAACTAGACAGGACCTGGAGGCAGGAGCTGATGCAGAGGTCATGGAGAACTGGTTTGCTCATCATGGCTTGCTTTCTTTGTTTTTTTGAGACCAGTTTGTCAAACAGTCCTGGCTGTCCAGAATTCATTCACTCTATAGACCAGACTGGCCTCGAACTCACAGAGATTCACTGTCTGTGCCTCTCAAGTGCTAGGATTAAAGGCGGGCACTACCACCACTGCCCAGCCTCAGCCTGCTTTCTTACAGAATTCAGGACCATTGGCCTGGGGTGGCACCACCCACAATGGGCTAGGTCCTCCCCCATCAATCAGTAATTAAGAAAATGCTGTACAGACTTGTGCACAGCTTGATCTTACAGAGGCATTTTCTCAATTCCGACTCCCTCCTCTCTCTGATGACTCTAGCTTGCATCAAGCTGACACAGAACTGTCAGCACACAAGGAAAGTGCCAGCATAGGAAACGTACATTTTGTCTGGCACTGGCCCACGGGTTCCAATGGGGGGCACAAAAGTCTAAGCAAGGACAGGGCACATGGGTCCCAGAGAAGCTCATTTCCTATCTTAACAATACTCCAGCTTGCTGGCTGTGTCTCCGGCTTTCCTGTCAACCCACAGGGTCTGCCATTCAGATCTAGGTTCATGTCTGATTTCAGGCTATTTGGTAATGTGACACCAAGGTCTCTTCTAGTTTCCCTAATAAAGCAGAGTAGCAGCCCAAAGCTGTCACCAAAGCACTGGAAAGGTGAACCCCAGCATAAGCCGGGGCTCTCAGAAGGGTGAGTGCCAGCACCCAGGAGCAGAGCCCTGTGAAGGTGTGTGTGCGAGCATTTAAAATATCACTCGTGGGCATGGCAGCACTCGGGAGGCAGACACATCACTTAGGAAGAAACAGTCCGAGAAGCCTAACAGTAAGTACACAGTTCTGATACAGCTATTAAAATATCTGGAAGCGAGAGCCAGGTGCTCTCGTAGGAAAGTATCTGCAGGACCCACAGAACAAGCTACAGAAGAAACATGGCGTGATGACTGAGCATCCTAGATGGCGTGGGTTCAAAACCAGCCTGCGGATGAGAAACTTCATCTACAGGGTCAACACATCCCTCCTGCAGCCCCAGCCTCCTCTGCAGATCAGAAGGCTGACTGATCCTCAGATGGCAAAGCCCAGGCTCCAGCAGACAGAGTCCCAGGTGCACCGTCTCTGAGGGCACCGAGTTCAGGACACTGCAGTTCGGAAGGAGGCCTGACACACTGCAACATGAACTGCGGGTGTGACAACATGCTGCCTAGTCACACAACAGCACACCATTCAACTTTTCTCAGCAAACTTCTGTAACTGAGAGCTACAGAGACAGAATCAGCACCAGGACCCCTGGCAAGCAGGGTCACACTAGAAGGGACATAAACCTGCCAACTCCTCCCTGAACTCAATAGGAAACCCCATATCAGCCTCTACTGTCTGTGGCTGCTCATACAAAACAAAACCCTGGAGCCAAGAGACTCGTCCAGTCTGCTCTGCTCTGGAAGACCCTCGCCACTACTGGTTGCCCTCCATCCCACAACACAGCTCCGTCCACTTCCAAGATGAGGTCCAATGACCAACAACAACGGGCAACTGAGCCTGAGGAACAAAAGAAACATTTGCATGCAATACTGTATCTGAGAGGCAGAGTGCTTAACAGTGACACCACTTACCCTGACATTGTTGAGAAGAAGGTCGTCCCTACCTAGGCCAGGGCCCACGACAAGGGCATGCAGCCTGGGCAGCCATTTCTCCACCTCCTCAACAGCATTAGAACTGTCACTAGAATAGGAAAAAGACAGAACAGTTTCTCAAGACACTCAGTTGCTTATTTTAGAGCACTGCCTGTGTGTGGTGCTGAGGACAACCATGAACCCGCACATGTGAGAAGGGCCCTACACCAGCTGACAGCCCAGCAGTAGGGAAGTTCCCACAGTTCCCTAGCCACTGCTCCCGGAAGTACCCTACATATGCACACTCCAGAAAACCACAAGTGAGGGCTGGCTCAGCACTGAGCAGCTGACCCACAATCCCATCCCGTCTCTGTCCCAGGATGCATCTGACCCTTGCATCTTCTCAGTCTTCTCCATGTACTGGTTTATTTTTGTTTTAGCTTTTTTTTTCCTTTCCAATCTCTGTGTAGTCCTGGCTGTCCTAGAACTTGCTTTGCAGACCAGGCTGGCCTTGAACTCAGAGATCATCTGCCTCCGATTCCGGAGTGATGGGATTAAAGATGTGCACCACCATGCCTAGCAGCTTGTTTTAGCATTTAAAGACTGCTTTTGCCTGCATGTCTGTCAGTGCACTACATGTGTACATAGTACCTGCAGAGGTCAGAGGAGGGCATCAGATTCCTTCAAACTAATGTTATGGATGGCTGGGAGTGCCATCTGGGGACCTGGACTAGAACCTGGGTCCTCTCAAGAGCAGCTGGTGCTGTCACCTGCTCAGCCACCTCTTCAGCCCCACTTGATTTTTATTGTGGATAAAGTGGAACCAAAAGAATGGTCCTGTCCTGAGCTTCTTCAGCTAAGTTTCAGTCCTTGGTGGCACTGCCCAGGGCGACATGTGGGCCCCGTCATTTCTGAAGTTCTGGGGAGCCCCTGAACAGGTTCTGCTCAGCTCAGAGGTACCCAGTGAACCAAGCTGAACAGAGCTAAGGCACTGTGAGCACTGCCTCAGGCACCCCTGCTCCACATACCACACGACACAGCACCTGTGCCCACCCCCACCCCATATCCCAGGTCCCCCTCCAGCCCTCTCACTGCCTTATGCTGATGCACAATGATGCACTCACTCTGATTTTCTTTTCTTTCCTTTTTTCTTTTTATCTTTTTAAAAAATATTTATTTATTTATTTATTTACTTATTATGTATACAATATTCTGTCTGCAGACCAGAAGAGGGCACCAGACCTCATTACAGATGGTTGTGAGCCACCATGTGGTTGCCGGGAATTGAACTCAGGACCTTTGGAAGAGCAGGCAATGCTCTTAACCGCTGAGCCATCTCTCCAGCCCCTGATTTTCTTTTCTTTAATGGTGCTGGGGATCAAATATCCACTTCATCCTAACCCTTTTAAAAGTTTTATTTGATAGGCTGTTAGCTGTCCAAGCTGGCCTCCAATTAGAAAGCCTCTGGCCTGAGCCCTAGCTGGGGAGAAAGGTGTGCGCCACAAGGCCTGGGCCTCATTATACTTTTCCTACTCCATGTAGCACCCAGAGTACAACAGACACACGAGTGTGAAAATTCTCCTGCAGGTAAAGACACCCACAGTGCAGACTCACAGGACGGGGTGGACGATCAGCTCTGGGCTGTAGGACTTAATCACTGGCGCAGCCTCCCTGGCACAGAACACGTGGGTCAAATCTGCACCCTGAGAAATAAAATCAGAGGTGGGCTGAGAGAAGGCCATGTTCAACAGGACCAACCTCGAGCAGCTTGATCTCTCACACTATGACATATGATGTCTAGCCTCCTGCAGCTGTGAACGGGCATGCAGTACCCAAGGCTGTCACATTCTGCATTAAAAGGTAAACTCCTCTGAGATAAGGTCTCTCACTGAACCTGAAGCTAGGCTGGTGGTCAGTAAATCTCGGGGATCCTCCTGTCTCTGCCTTCAACAATGCTGGGGATACAGGCATGAATGGCCATGCCAGGCTTTTTGCGTGTGCTAGGAATGTGAACTCAGGCCTTCATGAGTGTATTTCAAGTATTCTTACACACAGTGTCATCTCTCCAGGTCCCTAAATAACCCAACTTTTAATCAGAGGAACCCCAATAAACACTCTGAGGTAAACCTACCACTTTCAGAGCCGAGATTCCTGCAAAATATGGTGCTCCTGTGTACCTGAAATGGGAACAATTGAAGTCAAAACTTCAGTGAAGCGACACACATCTGCCAATAACAGGTTACCAACACAAGGTAAGATGCTCAGTAAACATTCACACAGGAGTCAGAACCAGAGATGCTTCACACGACAACTGTGGCCATTTCTCAACACTGGCTGTGTGCACTCTGTACCAGGTACAAGACAGGGCTAGCTAGCTGCAGGGTTCTGTAGGGGTGAAGGTGGAGGTGACCCCAACTCAAGGCAGTCAGCAGAGTCAGGTCCTCAGAGTAGAAGAACCCTGTCTTCTATGAGTGACATCAGCAGAAGCCATACAGGGTCACTGCACCCTGCTCTGTGGTTCCCAGCTTCTTATCTAAGCTCTTGTGGCCCGTGGCAATCTCATGCTCGGCATGATGTTCACATACAGAGTTACTGTGCTCATGGCCACTGGTATAGGTTTTCACCCATGTCCTCCCACCCACCAACAAACCAGGGACAAATGCTGAGCACACGGAACCCAGGCCCATTCTCCAACATGTGACCTGCTCTTCCACAATTGTGTCAACAAAGTGTGTCCAAATCACCAGAGAAAGGACCACACAGGGACCACACACGCTCGCTCTCCCTTTCCCACAGACAGAGGTTTCACAAGACACTGCAGAATGGACCAGGACCACAGGAGATCACACTCCACACAGCACATGGGAGCCACCAGGGAAGAGAGGACAGTTGGGATGGTAACAGAGGCCAACATATGAGGAGGGTCTAAGCCAGACTAATGGAACATTCCAAAGCCAAAGCCACACCCCCAGACCTACCAGGGAGGAAAAGCGGTCTCTAGAGAGGTGGTCTGGATGAGCAGAGTGCATGCTGACAAACGGGATGCAGATGGCATGATCTCCCCCAGGTTACTGCAGCAGCACTACCACTGTTTCTGGGGAGTCTACAGCCAGCCAGTCACCAGCACAGTACACAGGGACCCTGCTGCCAAAGCACTGCGTCGTGAGGAACCAGAGAGGGCAGGAGCACAAACACAGATGTGCCCCACAATACACACCCCTAAATTCACCATCTAAGAAGCTCAACTGGAATTCTTTGTTTTTTGAGACAGGGTTTCTCTGTGTAGCCCTAGCTGTCCCTGAACTAGGTCTGGAGACCAGGCTGGCCTTGAACTCACAGAGATTGGCCTGTCCCTGAACTAGGTCTGGCTGCTGAATGGACGGATGGATGGACAGACGGATGGATGGACAGACAGATGGATGGACAGACGGACTGATGGGGAAAGAAAGGTAGGTGCAGAGATGGATGGCAGATGTAGACAGACAGGCAGGAGGGGTGGCCTTTATAAACATGACTGTCTTACAGCCAGCACTCACTCTTGACAGCCCCCGACTATGCCTATTCTTCCGTCCTGCCCTTTGTGTTTCTTCGAGGTTAGAGCAGGCACAATGTTTCTCACCAACTGAAAAAAATTCTCCATGTCCTTTGTCGAGTGTGCTGTATGGAGGGAGAATGCTCTTTGTAAAACTGCAAAACAGAAAAATGAAGTCATTAGAGACTTAAGAGTAACCACCATCTAGCATGCTCCCCACAGCTGCCCACACGAGCTCTCGAGTTTATCTTAGTTCTCGGGGAAATGCAGTCCGAGGACAGCAGAGCATCATACTGTGCAGCATCTGTGGGGACCTTCAAGCGATAGCTGGAGCCACCACTCAACACCGTCCTCTCTCATTTCAACCCCAACCTTTAAAGTCGGGAGGGCTCTTCCTCTCTGTTCACACCTGGGGAGCAAGCTCTCGACTGCGACCTTGCGCTGTAGTCACGTCCATCCGATTATTCCCAACCGCATCTCAGTATCCATCAGACACTAATCAGACTGCCTAGGAAGGCTCTAAACAGCGCATCCTAGGCTCAAGGTGGCACTGTGGAGCAACCACACCACGTAGAGTTGTGTCTACCTCCATTTAACTGGCTTTTCTTGGAAAACTTCTGTAGATGTGAGTTTTTCTACAGGGAAATGTTGGTATACACCACAGAACCCAATGCACATGTTCTCTACGATCATAAAATGTGTTTCTATGCGCTATCTACAGAGTCTATAGAATGTAAGGATACCCGGAAACAAACACTATTTTCCTGAAACAAAGGTCCACAAATCCACTCAGGACAAAGCTCCCTCAGCTCCTTGGGGGAAAGTCATCTCAGTCTCTTCCAGCTTGACCTTGCTTACTTTTGCTCAAGAAAATATTCCATTATTTCCCATGGGCGTGTGTGCACATGCATACACACGCATGAAGGCCAGAGGTCAATCTTGGTACTGCTCTTCAGGGGCTGTCCACCTTATTTCCCCCTTTGTGTGTGTGTAGGAGGGGGAAGCAGTGAGTGTGCACATGTGAGCCTAGATGTGTGTGTGCAGGGGGAAGTAGTGAGTGTGCACATGTGAGCTTAGATGTGTGTGGAGAGGGAAGTAGTGAGTGTGTACATGTGAGTGTGTGTGTGGAGGGGGTAGTAGTGTGTGTGCCACACATGAGCCTAGATGTGTGGAGACCAGAGTTCTAGTTGTTTTCCTCAGTTACTCTCCACCTTATGTTTTGAGCCAGGTTTTTCCCTGAGCCAAACAGCAAGTGCCAGATGCCCCTGTCCGCGCCTCCCTAGCACCACAGCCCCGCGGCTGAGCCACAGCACTTTACTGACTGAGCCAGGCACTCTCATGAGGACTGGGCCTTGCTGGTTAGGCTCAACTGGCTGGCCAGGGAGTCCTGGGGACCCTCCTGTTGCTCTCCCCAACAACAAGACTGGGAGCACAAGCGTGCGGCACCATGCCTGTTTTTCTATAGGGCTGGGGACAGGTCCAGGTCTTCGTGCTAACGTGGCAAGCACCATGGACTGGACTATCTCCCTGGCTCTCGTGTACACACAAAGGCCCAGATGTAAGGACAGGCCTGACTACCATGGCCCAACCATCTCTCACCAACCTCCAAGCCCACAGGGAACCTCTGGCAGAGAAAAGCTCCAGGCCTGACAAAGAAGCCGCTGTCCCAGGAGCCTGTTATCAGGGGCCACAGGACTCACTGTCCGCTGCTGTGAGAGATAACAGATAGCCTACATCTGTTCCAGGAGTAGTGGCATCTGAGGAAACACCTCCCCGCCCCCCAAGCCTCTGAAGCCACCTGAGACCTGGCTTCCATTCCTGCCCACACCTGTATGAAACCCCGCTCTTCTGCAGCCCCTCCTATCACTTGGGGCAAAAGCATGATGTCCCAGTTGTCCCTGTATCTGATCCTGGGGTGAGGAGTGCCAGGCTGAATGCTGAAGGTCATCCTGCTCCGCACAGCTAATCACCACCCACTCAGAGATGAGGAAACAGGCTCCAGAGACGGCGAGATGCTATGGTCAGCTGCCAAGTGAAGCTGGCACTCCATTACTGTACCTTTGGAGTTGTCCCTTCTGTTGCAGTTAACACTTGGAGAGACTTGCAGAGGCTGCCGGGGTCACCAGGTTATTACGACCACTCCTTTGACAGACAACTAAAGACTCACTGAACATGCCTAGGAATATTCCTGCCCATGCCTTTTTGACCCCAAACTGAGCAGCGCCAGAAGAGCTTGCACCTGTCATTTACCCTCTCAGCACGGACTCTCCTACTGTGAGCTAAGCAGCCCAGAAACCCATCTAGCATCTTTCCTTCTTGAACAAGAACCTAAAACTGAGCATGTTCAGAAAAGTTACCCTAACTAAGGTTGTGGCAACCCCTAAAGCCTTTTCTTACAGGAGCATTCTCCCCAGTGGGATCTCCCACTATATAGTCAGGGAGGGCACTGCTCTGAGGATAACTCTGTGTCCTTTACCTGCTACAAGTAATGGAGCTTTCCCCAATTGTTTATCTCCTGGCTGTGCTCTGTGACTCAGGGCTCACCAAGATGTGAACACAATGTACTCCATTACACCTTTTTACCAAAATGTGGGCGCTTGAAGGCAAAATAACTTGTTCTTTAGCCAAATTATTCACTTGATTAACCAAAAGAGTCAAATCTTTCTCAAATGTTCTCCAGAGTCATTTGGGAGGGAAAAGAAAAATCTGTCATGAAGTGCAGCATGTTCTTTTTAAACTAGAACTCTATGAGTGCCAAGTAAAATCCAAGCCATGGCGCTGGAGAGACGGCTTAGCAGTTAAGAGACACACTGTTCCTCCAGAAGACCCAGGTTCAATTTCTAGCACCCACATGGCAGTTCACAACTGTAACTCCAGTTCTAGGGGATCCAACACCCTCACACAGATATACATACAGGCAAAACACCAATGCACATAAGATAAAAATAAATTTAAAAAATCCTGTCAGGCAGTGGTAGCACAAACCTTTAATCCCACACTCAGGAGGCAGGCGGATCTCTGTGAGTTCGAGGCCAGCCTGGTCTACAGAGCAAGTGCCAGGACAGAAAAACCCGTCTCAAAAAACCAGAAAGGAAGGAAGGAAGGAAAAAAGGAAGAAAAGAAGTCACAACCACGAAGCAGCACTGTGCCCTGCCTGACTCCGGCCAGTCCTCTGAAACAGCTGTCCCCTCCACACTATGCCCCTACACTGTCTGGTGAGCTGGCTAGGGGGATGGAATGCTATAGGACAGATTATCCTGGGCCATCTTAAGGACCTCAATCCTTACTTACTTTAACTTTTGTGTGTGGCCTAACACTCCTGCATTAAGCAAACGTCCCACACAGTGCCACCAAGTCCACAGACCTCTTGTCATGGTCAGTTTCTACTGTCAACTTGACACAACCAAGAGTCACCTGGGAAGAAGGAGTTGCAACTGAGGGGCCATGTCTGTGGGGAAACTGTCTTGACTCTGATCGACGGAGGAGGGCTCAGCTCACTGGAAGCACACACCACACACAGGTGGTGCACAGGTGTGTGGTATAACAAAGTCAGCAGAGCCAGTGGTCCGCCTTCCTCCATGGCCTCTGCTTCAGCTCCTGTCTCGACTTCCTTCCTGACCTCCCTTAAACATGACTGTGACCAGGAGATAGGAGGTGAAACAAACCCTTTGCTCCACAAGCTGCTTCGGTCATGGTGTTGATCACAGCCACAGCCAGCCAACCAGACGTCTACACCAAAGAAGTAGGGAACGCTAGAGTAGAAGATGACACCTGAGACCAACACAGGTTTCTTGCTCTGCTGTCACCGAAGAACACGCTGCTTTCTGCCTTTTGTTCCACAAGTGTAAATCTGGCACATTAGGATAACCTGAATGCCCTGAAGAGTCAGTCCCTTTACCTCACAGCAGAGAGCTCGGCTGGTGAAAGGCCGGAGGCAGGTCGATTAGATTTCCCAATCCTTTACACTCCTGGATCAAGTTGTAGCTGGCTCACTGCCACCCTCGTGGGTATACCCACCAAAGTATTAAGGGGCTACTTAAAATGTAAATGCTATTTACATAAGTGACTTCGACTGGAAAAGCAGGTAGCGCCCGTTTGCTTTTTGCTGAGGATAGCTGCCACCACTTTTGTGCCCCAAGTGCTTTGATGAATTGAATTCTAAGTTGGAACATATGACAGCAACCCATACATTAAGTGAGACCCACCCAAAGCACAGACTCTAAGACCCATTCTGTGGTAGACATTTAGCAAGTCAATCTAGTGATGAAACTTTAGAGAAGTACAAACAAACAAACAAAACCTTACGAATCAGTGTCTGAACGTGAGGCAAGAAAAACCAAGGAAAAAGGTCTCTAAATAAAGGTGGGTTTAAAAGCCTTTTATGGGCGTGACTGTCATTACAGACTTGGAGGTGCCACCTACTTAAATTGAAAAACAAAAGCCAACATTTCTCCACATTTTACCCTTGGCTGTGATCAACATGTTCATAGGCCATGGTCAAACCTTCCTAATGAATCCTACAACAAACAGTAAACTTCACCACTTCAGCCGCTTACTCCTGGGGAATGCTGGCTAAGTCACTTCTTCAGAAACTCGACTGTCTACACAGGTAGACAACAGCTCTCTCTCTCTCTCTGCTTTGTAAGAAATGGGATGATGTACAGGGAGGTCAGAAACACAACCATCCATAAACAAGGAACGAAAGCCATGTAAGGAGATCTGGGGGACAAATGACCCATCTGCTCAACCCATGAGTTCTTCCTCCGTAGTCTGTCCTATCTGAAGAGGGACCTACCTCCTGCTCCACCTGTTGGGACAGGGTCTTAGATGTGTCTGGCTGCTCTTCAAAGGGAATTCCAGGCTAGCCAAGGTTACACAGTGAAACTTCAAAAATAAGGGTCTAACTGGAGCTCCGAATCCCATAAGTCACTTGACTTAGTCCATCTCTCAAAGAAGGCCCTGCACACAATCCCCAAACGTAGGGCTTAGGAAAGAGGGTGAGCCACACCTTGACCCCACCCACCTCCTCCAAGAACTTGCAAACTTTGAGCTAGGGCACCGGTATTGGCCCTGCTCACGGAACGGCTCGCGTCTCCCACACGTTTAGCCCAGATCCCCAGCGTTTTCCGGGAGCAGGGGAACCTAGCCCTCAGTCAGGCCCGCCGCACCGACTCCCCAGCGCTGGAGGCGCCCGCGCCAGGCAGAGTCCGTCCTGCAGGGCCGCCCGCTCGCCGCGGCGCCCGACTCGGGTCCACCCACCCGCCCGCCCGCATGGGCGGCCCTGGCCGGTACCTGCGTGTAGCGGCGGCCAGTGGAGCGCGATCGCGGCCGAGAGCAGCGCCACCACGGCCGCCACAGCGGCCCCACAAGCGCGGACCGCCATCCACCGGACGCCGGTATCGATCTTACCTCGCCCGCAGGCGCTGATGGCCACAGAGCGGACGCCCATGGCGGCTCGGCCGACTTCCGGGTTCCCAGCTGCCCCCGCGCGGCCGCCGGGCCCCCGCCATTGGTCCTTCCTCTGGACTCCTGGCGCCCGGGAGACCGTCCAACCACGGCCATTGGCTTTGTCCCTGCGTCCCTAGGGTCTTCCCACCCCTTCCCCCGCATCGCTGAGCCACGGCTATCGGGTTTCCTTCTGAGCTCCCGGCGGCCCCAGCGCGCCGCCGGAAGTGTGTTCCTGATTCCGGAGGACTCGTCTTACCCCCGAGGTCAGCCTCCACTAATCCAATTTCTGTTCTCTGCTCAGACGATTGACAATCCGGACACCCAATCCGGCCTGGCCCCTGGGTCCTCGTTCTTTTTTTTTTTTACCTCGTTCTGTAGTGCTTTGTCCGTGGACACGATTGAGTTTCAGGTCAGCTTCCTTGGCAGCCTGCCTGCAGCTGGACACCTGTGGTGCCCAAATAGGTGATGTCCTTGTCCCTGGTGAATCCCACAACTAGATCTACAGGCCCATGATTTACCCCTATGAAACCAATTTATGGCCCCAGCTCCTCGCGGTAATCTCAGTAGAAGATAGGTAAAGTCCGCAAACCAGAAGCATCATACCCATGCCCCTTATGGCTGCCTGCCTTTGATACCTCCTCTTCTACCCTGAATGAGGCCTGGGTGATGACAATATGTGTCTCTGTGAGTATATTTGCACACGTGTATAAAGGTGCCCGTGAATGGCCAGAAAGGGAATCAGATCCTTTGGAACTTGGTTCCCAAACAGTTGTGGGTGCTTATGTGGAGGCTGGGATCTGAATTCGGGTCCTCATGATTGAGCCACAAGTGCTCTTGACAAGTGCTCTGAGTCCTCTCCAGCTCCCTGTGGTAAGGCACCTGTGGTAACTTTCTCCTATATAAAAGTCAAGAGCCAGGCCGGGCGGTGGTGGCGCACGCCTTTAATCCCAGCACTCGGGAGGCAGAGGCAGGCGTATCTCTGTGAGTTCGAGACCAGCCTGGTCTACAAGAGCTAGTTCCAGGACAGGCTCCAAAACCACACAGAGAAACCCTGTCTCGAAAAACCAAAAAAAAAAAAAAAAAAAAAGTCAAGAGCCTACAGTTGTATTGTTTTCCTGCATTTTACAAACAAGCCATAGAAGCAAAATCCAAGATCAAGGAGTTTGCCTTGTGATCACCACACCATGTATATGTGTCTGTGTGAATTTCTCCATTAAATATCAACTTGGTTTTTCAAGACAGGGTTTTTCTGTAGCTTTGGAGCCTGTCCTGGAACTAGCTCTTGTAGCCCAGGCTGACCTCTGCCTCCCGAATGCTGGGATGGGATTAAAGGCATGCATCACCACTGCCCGCCGTGAACTCTCTTCTTTTTTTTTTTTTCTATTTTTTTTTTTTTTTTTTTTTTTTTTTTTTTTTTGTGAACTCTCTTCTTGCCAGCTTCAATCTCAGTGGAAGACTTTAGAAGCTTTACCTTCAAAAAAAATTTTTTTTAGCTGGATGTGGTGATCCTTACTGCTATCCCAGCACTCGGGAGACAGGCAGGAGGGTTGTTCCAAGTTCCAGGCCAGCCTAGGCTATGTTGTGAGAACTGTCTACACACACACACACACACCAACAGTAACCTAAAACAAAAAGCAAGCAACAAAACCCAATCCCCACACAAAGAACAAACTCACAGCAAATCCTCTTCTGTAAGCATAACAGAGGGAAAGAACAAAGCTGGGAGTTGTGGCTCATTCAGAGGCTGACACAGAAGGACCAGGAATTCAAGGCCAAACTGGGCTACATAGAAAGTTCCAGACGAGACTGAGATACGTAAGGAGACCCTGACAACAGAGATAGGGAGGGAAGAGAATTTGGTAGGGAAAGAAGAAACAGATTAAGTTCAGTTTAGGGGACATAGCACATTTAATGCAACAGTTGGTATAGTTAAACCAACTATAGGAGTTAAGGTTTGAGGAGGCAAAGCATGCTGGGCTTTGTGGAGGAAAGGCTTTCCCGGGAATTCAGCAGGTCCCACGTGTCATTGAGTGAACAAGTGAGCCTCATAGTTACCCTCTGGAGACATGGAGAAGCTGGACAAAAGAAATGGTATCACCACCATGTCCTGGGGGATTGGATCTAAAACAACTATCTTTAAGAGAAGCCAGGAAGGCGGAACAATAGTTCTTTCTTCTCCTTAGAACATCAAGTGAAGGAGCCGAGTATGGGCATGCTGGCTAGGAAGAGGATTCGCAATGTTTCTCTTGCAAGGAGAAGACATTCAAGGCAGCGTGGGGCCTGACTCAGTTTCCAGTGTGGCACATGAGGGTGGGCCTAAGGAGATGGATTTAATTAGAAGGCAGCATCAGAATGTCCAGGCACATAACTGGCACCTGCAGTGCATTGCAACAAATAGCTACTCATGTCAAGTCACAGGCTGATCACTGGCACACATGGAACACCTGGAAGATGCCCATGAAGATCAAAGCCAACACGGCTCCTGGTCTTGGTGACTTAGACCCGGCATGCCTATAGAAGACAACAGGTTCCAGAGATGCAAGGCTGTGGAATTCCTGGGGAGCAGCATGGTTGGGCTCCCTGGACGCGTAGCTTCCTTCACTCGGGTCATTGGAAACCCAGTCTGGTCACTACAATCAGGAAATCTCACTCCTCCTAGGTGTTACTCCAAAGGAGGCAGCAACATTGTGACCTCAAGGTCCTCTAATTTAAACATAAGCCCAGGACCTAGGAGGAAGAGAAGGAGGATTGAAGACATGCATGTCTCCGATGCTGAGCCTGCTGATCTGCTCTGTGGGGTGACCAGCTGCATGGTTTACTCAGCTTCCTCATTATAACACAAAAGCCCCTGCCACTTGCTGAGGATTTTACATAGATTATTCTCTTGGCCATTCACATTAATTTTCTATTAAAAGTTTTGAGGTCAGGGATATATCACACAGGGATATAAGAAATGATTACCTCAGCCTGGGCAGTGGTGGCACTTGCCTTTAATCTCAGCACTCAGGAGGCAGAGGTAGGTGGATCTTTGTGAGTTCAAGGCCAGTCTGGTCTACAAGAGCTAGTTCCAGGACAGGCTCCAAAGCTACACAGAAACCCTGTTTCAAAAATAAAAAAGAAAGAAAGAAAAAAGAAAGAAAGAAACTTGGCCCTTTGATCAAGAATAGTAAGGAATATTACAGAAAGATCCCATAAACTTACCCAGTTCCCCAAATTGTAACATCTACACTGTTAGGCATCTGTACTGGCCTGACCTCGGGGTATCTGCCCTCAGCTGTAGCCACTAAGAGCACCTCCTGTGCACATTCGCTACGTTCCCTTTTAAAAGGGCTCTGCCCACCTCCACCTCCAATCTCTCTCTCTCTCCCTCTCCCGTCTCTCTTCTGCCACTCCTGTCCCCAGAAGCCAGTCTCCCCTCCCCTCCCTTCTTTTCCCATTCACTTTCCCCCAATAAAAACCCCCTCCACTTGAGCTCAGTTGCATGGCATCGTTCTCTCTCTCCCACTTTTTCTAAATTACATCATACACAGCATCACTGTTGGCTGATAGGACAGTTCTGTCCCACCCGGACAGGATGCTGGTGTTAACTTTTGTTAACACCCATGCTTCCCCTCACCTCAAGCTCCCATAAGCCCCTGGCAATGACTAGCAGCCTTTCCCGATCCAGTCTCTCACCCTTATTAATGTCATGCAGGTAGACTCTACAGAATGTAACCTTTGGGGACTGGCATTTCCCCTCTCACCGTAATTCTCTGGATCTTCATCCTCGTGGCTCGCATCACAGTTTGGTTTTTTTATTGCTAGATAGAATTCTGTCCTAAGGACATAGCAGAATTTGCTTAACCACTCACTGAAGACTATCTGGGTGATTTTTGGATTCCTAAAGCTGGTGTAGACACTCATGTGCACACGTGACATAGAGCATGAGCCTTCAGTCCTCTGGGATACATGCGAAAGGTTGCATATTCACAGTGCTCCAAACTGTCTCCTCAAAGCACAGGACTTGCCTTTCCCCAGAACAGCTCACGTGATGCATTATCCGTTCTTTGTTTCTCCGGGACAAATGTGTTAATTCCACAGTTGCTCACAACATTTGCCCTTTGCCAGGCACTGATAGATGGGAGGATGTTACACATAAAATTTAAAGCCAAGAAGAGATTAACTTTGACTCTGGCTAATTCCCTGATCATTGAACCACCACCAATCCAATTCTTTCTTTGTAAACTCCCATTGGTCCTGAAAGACAGAAAGCCTCCTCTACAGTTCCAGATCTTGCTTGGACTCTGCTCCGAATCCACATATTCCCCTCTGTTAAAGCATCTGCCCAGTGTTCTATTAAAGCACCTGCCAGACTCTAAGGGCTGGGCCTCTGTAGCTGGGATAGAGTCAACTTCACTCTCTGTATTCCCGGTATTTAAAACAGTGCCTCGAGGACAAATAACAAAAGATGTAATAAATGCTACAGTTAGGGTGAAGAAATGAACAGAAAGACAGACAGATAGATAGACGAATGGGTGGTGCATGAGTGCTTGGGCAGATGGATGAGTGAATAGCTTGATGCATCCAAGATAGTTACATTATGGATGGATGCATGGGTACATGGATGTTTGTGTGACTGGATAGATGAGTGATGGGAGAATTGATGGTTAAATGGGTGGGTGGATACGTGCATATATGCAAGGATACATACATGTATATATACATGAATGACAGCTGGTTGGGTAGATGCATGTTTGTATAAATGCAAGGATAAACATACATAAATACATAGATGATATGTGGATAGATGGGTGGATGGATGCATGAATGCATACAGGATGGATGGGTAGATGGATGGTGGGTAGAATGATAGACTGGTAGATGGCTGACTGAATTAAGACACAAAACAAATGATAGAATTTTTAAAAGACTTATTTATAATTCATGTATACAGTATTCTGTCTGCATGTATGCTGCAGGCCAGAAGAGGGCACCAGATCTCACTACAGGTGTTTGTGAAGCACCATGTGGTTACTGGGAATTGAATTCAGGACCTCTGGAAGAGCAGTCAGTGTTCTTAACCTCTGAGCCATCTCTCCAGCCCCAAATAATAGAATTTGAAGTGTTGTGACATTGGGATGGGCTATGGGGAACACTTTAGAGGCGGGGTTGGGGGGTGATGGTGGTTATGATTCCTGGATCTTGAAATTTGCCCACATATTGTGGGCAAGAAGATGTGGAGGTTTAGGGAAAAGAGCAGATTTGGTCAGCAAAGGCCAACTTTCCAAAAGGACTTGGAATTTTGTCTAGTAATGGTCAAGTCTAAGTAGTCTCTTCTTTTACACATGCATGTAGTATGTGTGTCTGCACCTGAATATGTGGGCACATGTGTGCATGTGGGCACGCGTGTGTGTATGCATGCAGGGGTCTGAAGTTGATGTCAAGTGTCTCCCTTGGTCACTCTTTTTCGTTATGTGTATGTATTGTCTTGAGGCAGAGTCTCTCACTGAACTAGGAATCCACAGCTTCAGCTGGTTCACTGCCCAGCTCCTAGGGTTCCCTGTGTTTCAGGAGTCCACAGTTTCAGCTGGTCGCCACTCTGCTCCTGGGGTTCCCTGTGTCTCAGGAGTTCACAGCTTCAGCTGGTTCACTGCCCTGCTCCTGGAGTTCCCTGTGTCCAGGTAGTCCTGAATGGTATAAGATCGCTGAGCAATTCATGAGAAAAAGCCAGTAAGCAGTGCTTCTCCAGAGCTTCTTACATTAGCTCCTCCCTCCTGGTTCCTAGCTGCCCTTCTTGTATTCCAGCCTTGACTTCCTTCAGTGACCGACTTTGATGTGGAACTCTAAGCTTAAATAAACCCTTTCCTCCTCAGGTTTCTTTTGGTCATGGTGTTTGGTCACTAGAAACCCTAAGACAGAAATTGGTGCCAGGCTAAAGAGGAGGGCATTGCTGTTTCCGACCTGACCATGTGTTTTGCAGGAGGATGGTGGCAGTATCTGCATCTGGGTCAGAAAAGCTGCTGAGTGCTCAGAGTTTGATGAGCCCTTGCGGGAACTTGGAGGATCAACCTGAGAGCAGTGCAGACAATGGAGGCCTGGCTTGTGAGGTGCAGAGGTAAGTTTTCAGAGTTTCTTAAAGACTGTTGGAAATATTGGCATTTGAATTAAGAGCCATTAAAGTGAAACGTCTAATTTACTGGAATTCTACATCAACCTGTTTCTCTTCATTTACGTTTTGCCTCTGGGCTTTTTTTACCTTCCTTTCTGTCCGTCCTACTCTGTGTCTGCTGGCTGGCTGGTTGGCCAGGGGCTTCTCACTCTCTTTCTCCCTCATTCTCTTCTCCTTCTCCCTCCTTTTCTTCTTTCTGGAACCTAGATTTCTCCTCCTAATTATTCTCTCTGCCGGCCAGGCCTGCCTATCCCTCTTCTGCCTAGCTATTGACCATTTCGCTTTTTATTAGACCAATCAGTTGCCTTAGGCAGCAGAAACAAATGTAACATATCCTTACATTGTTTAAAAAAATGGAGCAGAAACAAAATAACACACCTTTACACAGTTAAAGTAATATTCCACAGCATAAACAAATGTAATACATCTTTACATAGTTAAATATTCTACAACATGACAATGTCCTGGATCTTCAGTCTTGGAGCAAGCCAGTAAGCAGCACTCCTCCATGGCTTCTGGTTCAGCCCCTGCCTCCTGGTTCCTGCCCTGAGTTCCTGCCTTGATTTCCCTGGAGGATGGACTTAGAAGCTGCAAGGTAAACGAAACCCTTTCTTCCCCAAGTTGTTTTTGGGCATGGTGTTTAGTGATAGTGGAAACCCTGTCTAAGACTATATCAGCAAAGGCTGACTAGGATGGGCAGCCACAAGGATAGGAGCAGACTTGACTTTGGAGGCTGTGGGGTGTGGGCCCCTGGTCTCCCTTATTCCTGGGGTGCATTGGCGGGGACAGTTATCAGTTAACTAAGCTTCCTGTGTGTTTCTGTGCTATCCCTGCCCCACCTGGTGCTTAGCTGCAGGCAATCTTCTCCATTGTTAATATGGTAATTTCCCACCTCCCTGGGCGGAGAGATCTTTGTGCTGCAGTTAGGTAGAAAAAGGCTTCCCCAAGTCTGAATAAAGGGCATTCGCTTGATCTCCTATTGAATGACCCTGGTCTCTGTGTCTTGTGTTCAATCTCCAGGCCCTTGCCCGGACTCGCATTCGGTACAGCTGCGCGCGAACTGTACCGAGGGTGTAACACCGAAATCGGGTGTTACAGTGGGGTATTCTTTGTCACTGACTGGGGTGCTGACTGTGTTGACAGTTTCCCCTGCAAAGCTGGAATACTTTGGTGTCTTTATCCGGGGCTTCCTTCTGCAGAGTCCTTTGTTCTCTGCAAGGGCTCTTATGGCTGAAAGACCCTACAGACCCCCTCCTCAAAACCTGCAGCAGCCAGCCTGCTCTCATAAGAACATCCCATGTGCTTGAGAGAGCAGGATGAGATAGGAAGACTGCAAGGCAGGATATCAATAAGATAGGACATCAACAAAGCAGGTTGACTGCAAAACAGGATATCTATAAGATAGGAACAGGATGACTTTTGCTGACACCCATGCTGAGAGAGGAAACCATTCATGCCCCCGCCTCATTCCGATAACCACGCTTTTTTTGCTTCTGTAAACTTGCTTTTTGCTCTTCCCTATAAAAAAACCTGCCCTCCAGTCGGCAGGCGCGCAAGTCCTCCGAAAGACTTGCCGCCCGCAGGTACCTGTGTTTACCCAATAAACCTCTTGCGATTTGCATCCGTATGGTCTCGGCCTGTTCCTTGGCATGGGGAGGTCTCCTCCTGAGAGAAAGTCCTCTTCGAGGGTCTTTCAATGGCCAGCAATTTCTGTTGCTTTATGAATGAGATCTTCAGTTGATCTTCAAAAACCATTAGTACATTTGTTGAGAAATTTCTCATATTTTCCCTCCTCTTTTCTTTCCAGAGTTATAAAATCTAACTTGAATTTCCCAGTGTGAAGGCGTGACATCCATGGCAGAGGCTCATAAGCTGTGACCTGAGGCAAACTGGAAAGCGAGTGTAGATGAGTGTGAGGACTTTTGTCATGCCCTCACAGCACCCTTGTTGTGATAAAAAAAGTGTACACACACACACACACACACACGCACCTGGTGGCATCTTCCATGACTGCAGTGAACTCATTATTGAGGCTCTTAAATTCTGTTTGCAGGTACAGTGAAGTGCTTTACATGTGGACACTCAAGGGTTTCTGAGATGACAGACATTGCCGTTCCAACAAGTTAGTTTTCTTTGCAAAAGTAAACAGTCTGCCCAAGGGCAAGTTCATGGTTACGGTGCCACTTACCGAATGTCTGAGAAATTCTAATTTCCTGTTTAGACAAGCCGTGAGAAAGGTAATTGAGAAACAGGTCTGTGCGGCCTGGAGAAAGCTGCTGCGAAGCACAGCCAGGGTAGGGGCAGGCTCTTAATCTCAGGTGACAAATGGTTCTCCACCTCCCCAGCTGCTGGCTCTTCACAGGTCACCCCTGATATTCTTGGGTCCCTGCCCTAGCCACGCCCACTCCCATAACCTCTGACCCGCCCATCGCCATCTTGGGACCCCTTCCTCTCTTTCTGCTTCCTTGGCGCGCGCGTGCACGCGTTTTCTCTCTCTCTCTTCTTTTATCTCTCCTCTCTCCTTTTATCTCTTTTCTCTGTCTTTCTTTCTCCCCCTTCCTTAATAAATACTTATGGCTATTTCCTGTGTTTACGTGTCTGTTCCCTGCCGCCACCGTGGGCCAAGGAAGCGTGCCCTCCTGTAGCCGCTTTCCCATGGCGGGCTCCGCCAGCCCGCCCGGGGACCGTTTGTAGCCGCTCTCTCATCGTTTTTTAAGAATAACAACCCCTGCAGTAGAACTCAGGACAGTTCTGTCATTTCCCATCCATTCCCATGTTCTCCATCCAGCAGGAGGAGGAGGAGGAAGAGGATGAGATTGCCACTCCCATCACATCTGGCGAGTTGTCAGAACACTGTGTCAGAGTTTAAGACACTGTTCCTTCTGATTGAACCCCAAAGCAACCACCATGGTAGAACTGTTGTCCTCTGGAGGCATGTTCGTGTCCTTACCCCTGGTCCCAGGATTGTGGCCAGTTCTTAGCATCCTTGACTCTTCTCTCCCACTCTACTGGCCATGGCACCCTGCTCTGTGCTAAGCAGTAAGGACTGTAAGTCACTTTATCTTATTTCAGATATTAATAAAAATGATTTTAAAGCTAAAATGAGCAGGTCATGGTAGCACACTCCTGTAATCCAGCACTTGGGTGGCATAGGCAGGAGGTTCAGGTGTTAGTACAAGGCTAGCCTGGGCTACACAAGACCCTATCTCAAAACTACACGGTAAAATAGAAATTAGACAGGAAACACGAGGTTCATTTTTGTTTTAATTCTGTGTGTGGATGTGTGCAAGTTAGTGCACTTGCTGGGTGAGGACAGAGGTGTTGGATCCCCTGGAGCTGGAGTGACAGGCAGTTGTGAGCTGCCTGATGTGGGTGCTGGAATCAAACTCAGGTCCTCTGCGAGAGCAGTAGACACTCCTAACCTCTGAGCCATCTCTCCAGCTTACTTTTGATAAATACATTTCTCTCTTTTATTTTTTTAAAAAGATGTATCACATGTAGAGTGTTCTTCATGCAGGAATGCCTGCATGACAGAAGAAGGCACCAGATCTCATTAGATGGTTGTGAGCAACCCCAAATTTGCTATGGATTGAACTCAGGACCTCTGGAAGAGCAGCCAGTGCTCTTAACCACTGAGTCACATCATCTTAACAGCCCTGATAAATACCTTAAAAACAAACAAACAAAAAAAACCCCAAAAAAACCCGGCGTTGGTACGCAGTCAAAAGAATGGTGAACGATGCCTTGAGGAACTGTGAGCGAGACCCCAGGGTAGAAAGCAGAAGGCCTTTTACCTCGGGTGCATTTTAGTCCCTGGATTATTCCTGGATGTGATTTCCTGCCTCCTGCGTTAAACATTTGCGTTCAGTTTATAAGCCGTGTTTATTCGTGTTGGATGTGGGGACACAGCTGTAGAACCCAGTCTGGTCAGTGTATCCTGACTCTACCTTGCCTTCATGCTTCCCCAGGTGTAATCTATAGCACGTGCCAGGCGACTGTGTTTCAGGTGGTCTGTCCTGAGAGAGACTGGGAAAGGGCTGCTCGGTTAATATTTAGCATGTGCTTCCTGATATCTGCGTGCATGTTTTTCTGCACTCACACAGCCTTCCTTGGACCACTGCCTTCTTCTTTGTGTTTGTGTGTAAAGTACAGTGATCCTGAAGGGCGGCTGTCTGCAGCTCGACTGCCATCTCCCCATCCTTTCAGGTCCTTGGATCCCTGGAGTAGCAGGCAAGAAAGTCGACACCAGGTGTGGTGGTTTGAAACCCTCCCCTGGGCTTGAAAGCCTTGAGCACCTGGGCTCCCGTTGGTAGCTTTGTTGGGTGAGTCACGGGGGTGTGGTGTTTGAATGAGAATGACCCCCAAAGGCTCACATTTGCATCCTTGGGTCCCTGTTGGAACTGTTGGGAAGAATTATGAGATCTCGTTAGAGGTGCTTCAAAAGACTCAAGCCATCCCCAGGTGGTTCTCTCTGCTTCTTGCTCGTGCACCAGGACACGGAAGGTCTCAGCTACTGCTCCAGCGTCATGCCTGCTGCCCTGCTCCCCACCGTGAGGACCACGGACTCCAGCCCTCTGGAGCCCTCTGAGCCTGAGTGAGAAAACATATTTGCTCCATCCTGACCCAACCTCATACTAAAACTAGGACCAGCCTGACCCTCAGGTGTTCCTAATGCTCTGTGGGACCCGTGACTCTCTGGCTGTTGCTCGGCTTCTGTGACTTACAAGGCTTTCTGCTCCCCTCCGTACCAGACAGAAGCATCGCGATGACACGGCTGTGCCCTATTCTTATTAAAAGTTCATGCTTGCTAGCCGCCACACCAATGGGATGTACCAAACCTGTGTTTTTGACCTTTCTATACCTCCTGCTCACTAACCTCGAGGTCATCTTGTAGTCACGGGAGTGGGTGCCTCTGGCCAGGTGTGGGTGGCTCAACAAAAATTTCAAATTCGTAGAGTTCATCTGGTCACCTTCTCTTGGGAGAGAACAGCCTGGCTACAACACCCCAGATTAAATGTTTTCTCTTATAAGCTGCCTTGGCCATGGTGTCTCGTCGTGGCAAAAGAAAAACTACTAGTACACTGAGGAAAGAAATCCCTTTTATTGTGTTTTTAAAGACAAACAAAAAACAGGAAAAAAAACCCCACAAATTACAAAGCTGGGATGTCACCCAGGAAAGCGTTGACCCCTGGGAAGCAGGCCGGTCACCAGGGACCAGAGCAATGTCCATGAAGGGGAGCCTGGGCTGCCCTCCTCGGGCTGGACAGCTACGTGACTAGAAACAAGAGTCAAGGTGTCTGCTTCAGAAGTCCACAGAAGACCATGGTTCTTCGTGCAGCCCCTGGCAGTGAGGTGTCCCTGGGGTTTCCCCAGTTTCAGTCCCTGCCTCTCTGTCGTCTCAGCGTTCATATTCCTCTTCTACACCAGTCATGTTATGTGGCTGCTCCGTATGGTCTTAACGGATCACATATGAAATGACCCTACTTACCCATAAGGTGACAGGCTCAGAGGTACTAGGGTAGGATTTTAATGACTTGGGAACACAAATCAGTCCCCAGTTGGCAGCCAAGCTGCAGGTCTGTCTCATTGCCTCTGGTGATACCGGGTGGAAGACGTTTCTATTTTCCTATCCTCCTCCCACCGGCCCAGCTTCCATCTGCTTAGATTCTGCCTGGCCAGCGGTACACAGCAGGATCGTTACACATTCCAGCCCAGGTGACTGTAGCTCAGCTACTCCAAAAACCATCTCCAGGAGGGGGTCCTTCCCTTGGATTCCTGCCCCAGGGGCATCTGATGGAGTCACCTGTGTGACACCATTGGATCCTGGGGAAGAGCGAACTGAAAGCTAGCCACCTCACTGCAGGAGGGCTTGCGTGAAGAAAGGGCGGAGGTCGTCACGTCACGGCCACACACTCCTGGCCGACCTCCTGCTGTGAGAGAGGACCCTCGGGATCAGCTCCTTCCAAAGGGCTGGAGAAGGTACTGACCATCACCAGTAGGGGGCGCAAGAAGCCACCGTATTTCTGATTCTGCTCACTGGGGCGAATGTGTTGGTGGCTTCCACACGGGTCTGCACATTGATAACATCTGCACCTGGGGATGTGGGGTCTTTATAAAAATACCACTGTCTGTGGAAAGACCTAAAGAGTCGCCTCACCAGAGAAGACAAACACCAAACACATAAAAATGTGCTTAGCAGCTTCAGCCACTGGGACAATGGAAATCAAAACCAGAGTTAAAAACCCCTGACATACCAGAACGCCAAATGTTGGCAGGATGAGAAGTCAGAACTCTCCTGAGCTGCTGACAGTGGGGAAAGTGTCACCACATCCAGGAGACCATAGCCTGAATGTCCAGCAGGAAATGGATCAAGATGGTGAGGTCTACGCTGAAGTGAAAGGAAAAAGCCACACCAGGAGACTTACAGACTAACTCCTGCTCTGTTGAAGGGGCCAGACTCAGGTGGGAGCATGCAACATTGTGCCATGTTTATAAAAATTTGGAAAATTCCAGTTATTTGGTAGTGGCAAAGGTTCACGGTTGGTTGAGGCTAGAGAGGATGGAGAGGGGCCATCCATGGCATGACCCAGAAGCTTAAGAAGCCCAGTGGACAATGATGTGCTCATGCAAGCTATGAGCCCACGGGTGAACATGTGTCAAATGTATCTAGGTGTCCACCCCGAAAGTGTACACTATACCTCTCAACTACACTTCAGTAGAGTTATCAAAAATAAAAAAAAAAAATAGGCGTTGGGAATCATCATAGAGAGGCCTCTGTTGGTAGCTGATGGGGACAGATGCAAAGACCCACAGCCAAACATTAGGTGGAGAAAGAGCCCAAATTGGAGATCTCCATTGGGTCTCTCCCCTTGGAGCTCAGAGAACCCCATGGAGGAGGTGGAGGAAGAACTGTGGGAGTCAGAGGGGCAGAGAACAGACACCAGGAGGACACAGTTCACAGAATCAACTAAGCAGGGCTCATACAGCCTCGCAGAGACTGAAGCAGCAGTCAGGGAGCCTGCGTGGGTCTGCATAGGACCTCTGCATATATGTGATGGTTGTTAGCTTGGTATCTTGTGGGGGTGTCTCTGGCTCTTTTGCCTGCTCTTGGGACTCTTTTCCTCCTACTGATTGCCTTGCCCAGGCTTGATATGCGAGGGTTTGTGTGTTGTTGTGCCATGTTCAGTTGGTATCCCTAGGAGGCCTGCTCTTTTCTGAAGGGAAATTTGATGTGGGATTCCCCTCTGTCTGCTGTGAATACCAATGGTTCATAAAGAAACTGCTTTGGACCTATAACAAAGCAGAACTTAGCTAGGCAGGGAAAACTAAACTAAATGCTGGAGGAAGAAGGCAGAGTTTAGAAGAAGCTATGGAGCCGCTGCCAGAGACAGACGTGCTGAAACTTTGCTGGTAAGCCACGACCTCATGGTGATGCACAGATTAACGGAGATGGGTTAAATTAAGATGTAAGAGTTAGCCAACAAGAAGTTAGAGCTAATGGGCCAAGCAGTGATTTAATTAATACAGTTTCTGTGTGATTATTTTGGGAGTCTGGGTGGGCGGGAAATGAACAAGTGTCCTACCTACAACAGAAACTGGGGAGAAGTGCGTCTGGGGGAGAGAGGAGGAGGACTTGGAGGAGCAGAGGAGGGGGAAACCGAAGAATGGCTTGGGGAAAAAAAAAGAAAAAAGGGGGGGTTGGTGAGCTAGCTCAGTGAGTAAAGGTATCTTCCACTAAGTTTGACTGCCTGAGTTTAGTCCCCAGGGGACGGAGAGTGGTGACTGCTTCAGGTTGTCCTCTGACTTCATGCACACACACACACATACACACATGCACACACATACACACACACTTTAAGTTAGTCATAACGACTACATTGGCCATCCATTTTTTAAAGATGTATTTATTTATTATGTATTCAATGTTCTGCCTGCATGTATGCCTGCAGGTCAGAAAAAGGTGCCAGATCTCATTATAGATGGTTATGAGTCACCATGTGTTGGGAATTGAACTCAGGACCTCTGGAAGAGCATCCAGTGCTCTTGACCTCTGAGCCATTTCTCCAGCCCTGGCCATCCTGTTTTTATTTTGTTTTATTTATTTATTTATTTATTTATTTATTTATTTATCTATCTATTTATTGGTTTTTTCGAGACAGGGTTTCTCTGTGGTTTTGGAGCCTGTACTGGAACTAGCTCTTGTAGACCAGGCACATGCCTTTAATCCCAGCACTTGGGAGGCAGAGGCAGGCGGATCTCTGTGAGTTCAAGACCAGCCTGGTCTACAAGAGCTAGTTCTAGGACAGGCTCCAAAACCACAGAGAAATCCTGTCTCGAAAAACCAAAAAAAAAAAAAAAAAAAAAAAAAAAAATCCGGCCCCCTTTCCCTCGGATTTGGCGGCCATGGCATTCTCCTGGCAGAGAACCTCATGCTGCACCCAGCGAGCCTGCAGCCCTTGGCTGGCTTCACCCCACGTCTGACAGTTCAGCTTGGGTGCCTGCCTGGCCCTGTTCTGGCCGCAGGGCAGGGACTAGCAGAGATCAATAGTGCCTTAACTATTAACATAGCTGCCAGTAACAAATTCAAACATTGCGAGGCTGGAGAAACAGCTCACTAGTTAAGAGCCCTGCTGTCTTGCAGGGGACCCAGGTTCAAATCCCAGCAGACACATAGTGGCTCACAACCATCTGTAACTCTAGTTCCAGGGATCCAACGCTGTCTTCTGCCCTCCATGGGCACCAGGCAGGCACAGACATAGATGCAGTCAAAATAGCCATACACGTTAATAGTTATACACACACATCCAACCCCAGCGCTGTGAGGTGAGCTGAACTACGCCCCTTTGGTTCATTTTCCTGTGGATGACTGTTACTGCCCCGTTTGTATTCACAGACCATAGTTTTCATGCACACCCAAATATATGCCACACAGAGTTAAGAAAAGAATGTGCTGAGTAACTGCTGGATAGCATGGGTAAATATAGAAGATTTAAAACGTCTCTTGTAAGCGAAGGGAGCCCACGTGCAGTCTCTGCATGCTGTGATTTCTCCAATACAACATTCGGGAGAAATCAGAACAATGGCTGCTGGCCAGGCGGGCTGAATGCACAGCACCTGTGCAGCGTTAGAACCACAGCGCTTTCCGCATGGTCTGCGATGCACTCTGAAGGTTACTCTTGACAGTCAGCCTGACTGGATGGGCAGAGATTCCCAGGTGATTGTGAGCCTGTGAGGAAGATTCCAAGGCCAACTAGATCACCGGGGCTCTGACCTAGTCAATGGCTATCGGGAAGTGATGGAGCTTTGGGTGGTGGGGCCTGTGGACCACTGGGGTGTGTCTGAAGGGTGCTTTTCAGCCCTAGCACCCTCCTTTTTCATCTTTATGAGGCGACTGCTGCCCTCTACAGTGCCCTTCCTCTGAGATGCTACTGCTTTGCCACAGACTTACAGCAACAGAGCCACGAGGCCACGGACTGAAACCACAAGCCCAGATAGCTTTTCCTTCTTTCAGTTGTCTGTGTCAGGTGTTCTGCCAGCGATGAGAACTCATCTAACACATGCAGCCTTTCGCTACGCATTTGTGCAGACCCACAGAATGTACAGAGGAGCCCTCTCGTAAGCCAGGCTTCAGTTAGCAGTAGCGTACCAGCAGCTCACAAGGGCAGCGAGGGGGTCATACTGAAGGAGACATTACCAGCTTTTCGTCACGTAACAGAGTACCTAGGAAGCCTAAGGAGGAAGGACTTGTTTTGGCTCAGAGGTGTCGGTCCACAGTCCATGGTCAGTTGGCCTTGTACTGTGGTCTGTGCAGGTTGGCACAGCGAGGTGGAAGAGCAGGGCACAGCTGCTCAGCTCATGAGGAGGGGAAGGGACCTGACAAGGTGTAGCCTTTTAGTTACCTACAGATCTATTTCCTTCCTATAGGCCCTGTCTCCCAAAAATGCCAGGGTGTTGAGTCCATCAAGGGACCTGCCCACTGATTAGTTCAGAGCCCTGTGAATGCAAAAACATGCTCTCACCGCTAAGGGAACAAGACAGCTTACCTGAGCCAAATGTGAGTGATGGTGGCCCAGGAACATGGATGTAGGTTGCTGGAACTGTAGGAAATTTTATTAGTTACAAAGGAAGTCACAAATCTAAGCATTGGGCACCACAGGGGGTGGGGACCACAAGGCATAGGGACCAGAGGGGTTGGGGATCACAGGGCATCGGGTAGGGGTGTTACAGCAAAGAGAGGAAAATCTCCTGTCCACTAAGGCCTCAGGCACTATCTGATAGCAGGCTGAGACTACATTGTAAAAGTTTTGAAAGTCACGAGGCTGTTAGGTCAGACGCAGGAGTGGCTTTCAAAGGGACTAAAATAGTCCAAGATAATCTGGCTCTGGCTCTGGTCTGCAACATTTTAACTCTCCACAAACAAGCGGCTCAGTCATTCGTCCTTGTCCTTGTAGAATGTGTGACAGGGGTGCCACTTCAGTTCCCAGTTTACCCAGGGTCCAGTCACCTCCCAATGGTGTGTCATGGGGCACATTCTTGGTCTCACTGATAAAGGAAGTCTAGAAACAGACACAGAAGGGGAGGCAAGGACAAACGCTGGAGCCAGAGACTCGGAGAGAGAGGGACAGACAGTTCTGAGAATCATCAGGTGTCAGAGGGAGGAGATGGAAGGACGGACGGACGGATGGAGAAAGCTGCGGTTTGGATAGAGAAAAGTGAAAAGATGACCACGCTTTTGCACGTCACAGATGTGTTAAATGAGATGGTCTGCTCTTTCCAGACAACCCAGGAGCCATTTTCCCTTAACAAGGTCTGGTTTAACCACAGAGTAGAGAGCTGCTGGGTGTGGCTGAAACTCCTCAGGTTAGCTTCAGAAAGGCCGGAATAACCAACATCTCCTATTGTGAGTTTACCATCTAGTTCATTTAGAGTCAGCAAAGAAGGAATAGCTAATTATAGTTCCAGGGACCTTGACCCTTTAGCTTTGTGGACAGCTCAGAGCCCTCCTCAGCAGCTGAACTTTAATCTTATGCAGCATGTGTCTCTTGACCCTTCACTGAAAGGCCAATGCTGGCTTGTTTTTGACCCAGCCACCATAGCCCCTGAAATGGGCATCCTTCAAAAACTATAACTCTCTGCTTCCCGGGGTGTAACTGAGAACCCATTATGCCATTTGCTTCATAGGAAGGTGATGCGTTGGAAATACTGTCTCAAAGGTGTCTGGGAAGGAGATGGCTTACATCCCTTTCTTCCTGTCTGCTGTCTCTTGGATTTACCAATAGGGCACTGAGCATCCAACACAGGAGTTTTGGGGAGAAAAATTCATATAAACTTTTATAAGTTTCAGCCCAAAGGATGTTTCTGATTTTCTTTTTAAATGTTCCTTTTCGGTCTGAGGTTTTAAACTTGTGGATTTTTTGAGGCACAGTTTCACTAGCAACAGAGGCTGACCCTGAGCTCATGACCTTCTGGCTCAGTCCTCGACCTCCACATGCTGGTAGTATATGTGCTACTTACTATGTCTGGCTCAAACAAAACATCTCCCTTGCTTCCTTCCTTCCCTCTCCAACATACTGATTATTTGACTTCTGTCCATGCATAGCCATATGTACAAATAAAGAAATAACATAAGTGATACACATCCATGGTAGAAAATAAAGGCAAAGCCACAGAGAGACCAACTGTTGCTACACACCATGAGGACAGTGATCAGCTCTTTTTCTATGTACCTGTTTTTTGTTTTGTTTTTCAAGACAGGGTTTCTCTGTGTAGCTCTGGCTGAAGGGGTGAGGCAGGGAGGTGGGGGTGGGGATTCCTGAAAGTTTGCAATATTTTGGCCTTGGTTTAGGGTTTAAACAGACCCGCCCATTTCCATCCCTCAGCCTCTGGGCGTCTGGTTACTGCCCTAGCCAGGCCCGGTAACTTTATCGCATCAAATCCACAACCAATTAGAAGTAACTTAGATTTCACAGGGGGGGGGGGGGAAGGGATGGCTAGCGAGAGCCGGGGGTTCAAGGGAGCGGGTTTCACGCGCTGGTGAGCCTTCCACGCCCCAGAACGTACCCTTCCGTCACTTTCCCAAGGCCGCTGATCTCAGCGCAGCGGACACGGTGCCCTAGGCTTTGCGTTCTTGTCTCAGTGGAATCTCACACTAGCAGAGGGAGAAACTCCCAGGAGTGTGGCCACTCCTTTCAAAAAACTGGACCCGCTGGGCTTTACCTGTCCCAGGGTCACCCGTCCACCTCCCTGCAGGCAGGCTAGAGCCACAGGAGGAAGGATTCTGAAAGAGTTTCAAGGGTTCTCTTACAGGAGGAAGAAAAGTCTTCCTCAGCTGTCACCGCAAGTGCAAAGTCAAATTTTCCTATTGCCGCACAAAAGCTTTCCTGCAGAAGTAAAAAGCAAACCTACCTAGCCGGTCTCCCCCGGTGCCCTCACTCCCTCCGTGTCCTCCCTTAACCTCAGCGGTCTTCCAAGGGACATTCCCAGCCAGGTAAACTCTCCAGGGTCACCTGTGTGGGTGCAACCAAGGTGCACCGAGGAGCAGTGGGCAGGGGCGGAGTAGTGAAATCGAGCTGAAGGTGCCTGGGACCAGACACACATCGCTCGGCCGAGCCATGGGTCACCAGCTCCAGGGCAGCTCTGCGCCAACCCGGGCTGATGAGGAACGCGAGTGTCCGAAGGAAGGCTCTCTGGAACTTTCACCTTCGGTTCCTCCCAGGTCCTAAGCTCCAAGTTTGGCAGTACACAAGTTCCAAGGTGGGGGGTTGAGCGGTACGTGACCTGCTAGAGAGGAGTGGGGGATGGAGGCGTGAGGGTGGTGGTGGCGTAGTCTGGGCCCGGGTGCGGGGTTCCAGGAAAGAGGGTGGGGGCGGAACTGGAGAGGGGCTTGGAGGAAAAGCGATGGGAAGGAGTGGGGTCTGTGGGGACAGGGGCCAGGGCTCTGGGACGGGGAGGGAAATGAAGTGGGGACGGGGTTTGGGATTGCCGGGAGGCAGGAGGGAGCATGAGTGAGGAGGAAGGGGGAAGAATGGGTGGACGTGGGGCTGAGGTTTGGCTGAGGAGCAAAAACTTAGTTGGGGAGGGATGGGAAAGAATAGGGGCGTGGTAGAGGTGTTGGGGCACTGGGGAAGGGGCTTGGAAAAGAAGGCGGGGCCGGGCGGCCCTGGGGGCGTGGGTGTGGGCGTGGTGGCCGGGAACCCCACGTGGGACTCGGGGTTGAGTTCACTCTAGCCCGGAGAGCCTTAGCGGGCTTCCTCTTCGGCACTTCAGCGCTTCCCGACCTCAGGTCTGGGCCATTAGAGTCCGGGGTCCCTGGGAGCTCGGGGTCCGCTACCCCTGGCGCCCTGGGCGGGTGACGGAGGGGCGCAGGAACCACCTCCTCCGCGACCATGCGGAAGCCGGACGGAAAGATCGTGCTGCTGGGGGACATGAACGTGGGCAAGACGTCGTTGCTTCATCGCTACATGGAGCGCCGCTTCCCGGACACGGTCAGCACCGTGGGCGGTGCCTTTTACCTGAAGCAGTGGCGCTCCTTCAACATCTCCTTATGGGACACTGCAGGTGAGGGCGGCCCCGCCGGTACAGGCTGTCTTCCGGGTCCGCGGGGCGAGGAGTTGTCCCCTCCAGGCGCAGGGTCTCCAGCTCCGACTGTGGCGTTCACTGCTCCTCTGTCCCCGCTTGTCCTGCTTTGCTGACTGGGAAAATCTCCAGTTCAGCCCACTCTGTGCGTCTTCGCGAAGATCCAGGTTATCCTGGAAGAGATCTCTGGTCCTCATCTTAGGTGCTTTAGTGTCCCCCTCAGGGTCCCCTCCTTTGGTGTGCCAAGCAGTTCAAGGTGTCGAGCAGAGCTGCTATTATTGGCCCCCTTATAAACGAGAAAACTGAGGCAGAGAGTGTTGGATCGCCACCCCTGGATGTAAGTCAACTGGAAACCCGAGCTGGAATCGCCTTTGCGACTCAGGGTTATTTACCCACTGCTGGGTCTTGGCTGGTGCGCAAGTCATGTGCGTGGAATAGGTTCCTGTACTGGCCTTTTAAAGATAGGTAGTTAATTATTTTTAGTGCGTGTACTGTTTGTGATTTTTCCAGTAGGTCCATCTTCGTTTTGGACTATAGGTTAGCACTGGTTTGTTCCGTTTTTACTTCCTTTTCCATGATAAAGAAATAAGATATTTTAAGTGAACAAACAAACCCGGAAATGGTACAGTTTCGTGGAATGAGGTTTCCGATGTCTGAAACTCCAAGTTCTGATGTACTCAAAAGTCTTGCTCCTAATCTCTGACTTCTTGCTTTGGGCATATCAATCTGTCGGCTAGTAATGCACTCTCTGATGAAAACTGAGTTAGTGGTGCTCTCTGGCGCCTTCTCTACTGTTCGCACCCCCCCCCTTCCCTGTTCCTTCCTTAGCCCTCGTGGGGAACGCACTGGTTCCTAGTTTCCACGTCTTTCCTCTGACTTCACTCCAGGTTGTAGGTGAAGCCTGATTTTTCTCAGGCTGCCCGCTTGCCTGGCACTCAGCGCCCATAGATGCAATCTTGGAGAATCAAGCCCAGTCAGTCTGTGGACTCCTTTCCCAGTCTTGGACAGAGTTCTGCTTCTTTGCTGGGTTTAACTGCTGCCCTTGGTGTATAGGGGAGAACATGGAATTGGTCGGTTTTTTTCCCCAACATCTCTTGATGTTTCTGGATTAGACACAGACGTGTGGCCACAGCACACGTCCCCAAAGGGCATGAAGGAGCAGTTTCACTTTGCTGGGCGGAATGCATCCTGATCTTGGTCACCAGAGGATTTTGTAACACTGCTGATGTAATGATATCCTGAGACTTTGCTGGTTCCTCGTGTGGGGTTGGTAGCAACCTGACTAGTTTCCCAGCCTCCCTAGCTGCTTTTGTGTTCCTGGAACACCAAGTGTGAAGCCAGATGACGAGGGAGCAAGGCGGGGTGGCCAGGCCCCTTCTCCACATTCCTGATGTCTGTGCACACATACTTGGGGGGCTGAGGCCCAGGGTCAACAGTGGCCCATGTGACTAATTTAGTGTCTACTTCGGTGGTGACTTCTGGGCTGCTAGTCACCTGGGGGAGCAGAGACGAGGGAGTAGTTACTGTCCAGGATTCTGTGTGCAGTAACTAGCGTAAAGTCCCTGCCTCGTCCCCAGTTGACTTTTAGAGTAATTTCCATAACGAAGACTGACCGAAACTTACTTGCTAGCTCTCCAGCTCCGTAGGTGGGTGGCAGCACACACCTGTGAGGGCTTTGCGACCAGCTGTAGTCAGAAACACAGCAGCTGGCCAGGATTTGTGTTTTGACTCTTGACTGTTCACGTGTTTGGCACCTGGAGCTTGCTAAGTACTTGTGCTGGGTGTGGCTGGGGATGGGAGGGGCGTGCCGGCTATTAGGCCTCTTATTTTCTTAGTGCAGAGTTTCAGAGGTAGCCCAGGGGCAGGCATGTAGGGTGCAGACCTCGTCTGTAGGGGTCCAGGCATCCCCCATTGTTCTCTGATTACTCATATGCCTTTCCCAGATGGTCTGGTACAGGGGGGGCTCTCACCCTTTGTGGTAGAGAGAGGGACCATCACCCTTTGTGGGATGGTTAGGCCAGGATGGGATGATCAGAGCTGCCAGTGGTGTGCCTGGTCCGCCACCGAGTGCCATTAGCAAACAGATGCTAAGCATCTTCCATGTGCTAAGTTCTGTTTCTAGCTCAGACCTATGCACGGCAGTGGACTGAACAGACTAGACAACCGTCATCTCGGAGTTATCCATGTGTGCATCCCGTGGACTGTAAACAGACTTTTCTTTCCTGCCCGCCAGTTCTCAAATAATCGATGCAGAGACTTGGTATGAATTATAAATGCTCAGCTGATAGCTCAGGCTTATTACTAACTAACTCTTACAACTTAAATTAACCCATTTCTATTAATCTACATCCTGTTTCATCTCCGTGTCCTGCTGGCGACTCCTCTGACTCTGATCTTCTCCTTCCCAGTGTCCTTAGCCTGGTTTTCCTGCCCAACTTTATCCTGTCCAGCTATTGGCCAGTCAGCTTTCTTATTAAACCAATTATGGCATAATTTACACAGTGTACAGAAGGATTATTCTACAGTAATGGGCTGGTCTTGGAGCTTCAGATTCCAGAAGAGGGGGAAAGCAAGGCCTGAGTTTCCTACCAATCTCAGATCTGTTTGGAAGGCAGTACAGTAGTATGAGAAAGTAGCCGAGGGGCCAGTACAGACCCCTGCAGGCTGGACACTGGTCGCGTGTTTGTCCTAGCCCTTGCTGGCTGTAGCCTCAAAGTCCGTCATCCCCACCCCCCTCCTGACTCCTGGAGATGAGTTTGGGAAAGCAACTCAGAGCTCCAGCTCAGAACTGGGTCCTGCTCCTCCATCCCTGCTTAGCCCCTGTATCTTCTCCCTCGTCCTGGTGGTTGGTGCTGCTGCTGTTGCTGCTGCTGTTGCTGCTGGGTTCTTGGGATAGAGCTTTTGCTAGTGGTGTGGATCAAGGGGATGCAGATAGGTGGGGAGTGAGAGCCTGCTGTCCACAGCCTGCTCTCTTCAGAGGGCCCTCTCTCTGTTGCTGCTGGACACTCTGGCCTTTTAGTCCTTTGATATACTAACAGAAGGTTGTCCTACACAACCAAGGTGCAGCAGACTTTCCTGACAGGGTGTTGAATACTCCCTGTGGTCTGGCCCTCACCTGTCACTTTCCCTTTCCGATGACAGGCCGCCCTCTGTCTTTCTTTGACCCGAGTTAATACAGGTGGCAGGGAGAGCCAGGTTTCACCTCCAGCAGAGCCAGGCCACCTTCCGCATTTGCTTGGAAAGTCCTCAGCTTCATCCCCTGAGCTTTGCCACTCCCCCCACCACACACACACAGAGTCACAGACACAGATCAGTGTCCTGAGACCATGTCCCTTCCCTCTAGGTTCCTCTAACTCACTCCTTTCCAAGACAGGTTCACCAGCAGAGCCAAGGCCTTGTCTTTCCACTGATCCCTAATAACACAACTCCGGATTTCCTAAGGTGATGCGGGGGGGGGGGGGGGGGGGGGGGGGGGGGGGGGGGG